GGTGCCCGGATCGTGATCATCACATCGGCGCAGCTCGGCGACCAGGACAATCCCTCGGAGACCCTCCATCTGGTGGCCTATCTTCGTCTGGAAGATCAAGCGAGAGCCAAGGCGTTCCTGATTTCTTTTCCAAAGCTGCAAGGGTACTTTACCGGCACGGGGGACATGTTTGCATCGCTGCTGCTGGCACACATCCACATGGCGCAGTCCAGGCACCAGGGGTCACTGCAGACAGCGAGGTGGCTCGAAGAGGCCTGTGAATTGGCGGTAGCGACCATGAACCAAGTATTGATGGAGACGAGCAAGCTATCGGCGGAAGCAAGCACTGGATCATCCGGAGAGCCAGTCGATGGTCCTGGTACCACTTTGTTGATCCGCAGACGGGAACTCCGGCTTATCCAAAGCAAGAAACACATCGAGGCTCCGCATGTGCTCTTCAAGGCACGCGACCTGGAGCTCTAGTATGCTCGATTCATGAAACGAGCTGCTCATGCAGAGCAATCAAGAGTCCTTATCTGATAGAGCCGTAATGAAGTTGAAACGGGCATGTGCATTGGTCCAGTCGCAGTCCTGTACCTTGAACACGAGTTGCAATCCACAGTGCTTGGGATGGAATTCATTGATTCGTTTTGGAAACTATGGGGCATCGCACCATTTGAATGAGCGAGCCCGCGACTGTGTGTCGACCAAAATGGCACTGTTTCCGACCGTCGCTGGCAATCAAGTGGCCTCGGGTGGTTTGGGGAGCATCATCTTGAATACCCCGGTGGATCTCCTGTGGAATTGCCCAACTGGCAGTGATGTCGAGACTCTGGAATGTGGTGCATGCATTCGACCTTTGGCCCTCTCCATAGGTTCTCGACAACAAGGCAGTCGGATCGAGCGAGTCGGGGCCATGCTCTGGGACATGGCCATCTCTTGTGATGGTGGGAATGCTCAGTGCTTGGCAAAGCTGGGCAAACTCGGTACGCATCCCCCTTTCCTTGGTGACTGGTCACGGTGGATAGGTGTATTCAAGACCCGGAGAAGATGGCCCCTCGTTTCGCTTTGGACAAGCTGTAGGCTACGAGCCAAGCCATTATACTGAAGGATTGACAACAGTGCTGAATGAGGGCGTGTCGTCAGGATCCAGAGGGACTAGCAATCGATGACATGGACAGGGTATCCTATATCCTTGTGAGTGCCGAAGAGCTTGCCAGGATCAGTCTCATTGATGGGTCAGTCTCATTAACACAAGGTGTACCCAAGAGCACAACCAGCTTTTATATTCAACCCGTGAATCACTGGAAAAGGGACAAGTATGGGACACAATGGCAGGGGGGATCAAGGAAGCAGAAAACAGAGAGTAGAAAACTCGGCCGACAAGAAATCGCTGTCTGAGTGGACGGAGAGGAATCGCGGTCGTGGATCGGTGTACAGACCATCTACACATGGCATTGGAGAGTCAGCCAAAGCTATGGATCAAAATTACAAGAGCAGGCCCAAGAGCAGAAAGCTGGCGACCAACACTAGGAGCGAGTGGTCTGGGTGTCGCAGAGTGCTCAGACTCTGGCTCTTGGCTGGAGACGAAGGGTTGAGGATGAGGATGGTGGAAGGAGGGACCGTGCTGACAGTAGAATCCGTGGGCGTTACGGATGGGGCGGAGGTAATGCTTGACAGCGAAGCTGAGGAGTTGCTGGCACTGGTGGGGGCGGGCGTGGATGAGTTTGAGCCAGTCGATGTGCTGTTGCCGATCAAAGAGCTGGTCGCCGCCGAGGGCGCCGGGGTCGCTGTCGAGGATGTGGTTTGAGAGGACGCTGCCGAGGGGGGAAAGATCACAAAAATCGGGCCACTGAAGGTGTTGGACCAAGTGATGGTTGGATTTGTGGTGTCGACCTCAGTGTAGATAAAGTCCATCTCGAACGCATACGGTGGGTTGACGGCAATCAACGAGGTGTCCAGCGAGAGAGGCAAAGTGGAGATGTTGGGAAACTGCTTGAGCCACAGAATTGGCTGGGCTGAGTACAGCGTCGGCCCGGTATGCTGGTTGATGATCTGGATGGCGACCAAGGTAATGGAGCTGATCCAGGTCTGGGCGATAGGTGAGTATGAGACGCTCAGTTGGATGACCTGGCCACTCGGGATTCCGTAGACGGCGCCATCGCCAGAATGGTATGGATTGGTCGTGAGATTTCCCGGCAACAGTGATGCAGGTGGAGTATCTACGGGAGAGACGACATCCAAGAATCAGCGGTGGGTGTGGAGTTGCGTAACAGACAAACGCATCTTCGCCACAATATCAACATCCGGTCAGACATATAAGAATGACACGCCAGAGCCAGACCACGATAAGAAGACATCCCAGCGACGTCGAAACTGCTGGCGACCATCCGGAGTTGTCAAGGCCAGCCCGACAATGAACGTACTCAGCGCATGTGTGGAGTGCGGCAGGGGCGATGCCAAGAGCAGCAGCGGGAGGATGGCCCAGCGAGGAGAAGCCGGAACCATGGCGGAGGGTACCGGACAAGTGACGCCTCAAGAAAGAGAATTGTGGAGAAGGTCGAATGGGAAACTTGGTAAATGGACCAAGGCGACCAGAGGAGCGGTGGATGAGAGTCGACCAGAAGGAGACGGAGCAAGACGGCGACCAAACAGCGAAGACGGGAAAGAAGCCAGAGCCAGGTGGCGAGAAGGCTGGCAGGGAGCAAGGGCAAAGGGCAGCGACACAAGCAGGCAGCGCGAACGCGTCCGGACGAATCACGATGCGCGAGGCGGATTCCTGTGCGTGTCCAGACGCGTTGTTACGTGCGAGCGCGCTTGTCTCGCGCGCCTTCACGCATTGTTTCACAGCCAGTCCGAGCTCGGGCACATCCCACAACCCATGACAAAAGAATCCGGTTGATCGACCGCCCGGCTGAACACCGAGCCATGTCGCCCGCGCCCTTCCGACGAACCTGGCCGACAGATATGCAAGGACACGATTTCAAACACACTCGGTTGGGTATATGGTGTGGCCATGCGTCGGAAAGAGGCTACCACCACAGTGTTGACTTGAATACGCTGTTCACAGTCCATTCAGAGTAGCACCGATAATATCTGGGGAACAACTGGACACGAGCGGAACCATTCGGCCCGCCACGAATGCCGACAATGGGAGAGCGGCACGACACCGACCAAACCAGCCAACCCACTGGCCAAACCACTGACCAAGCAGGCGGCGATGAAAAACCCAGGCAGGAGCTCAAACGAAAAACAAAAATAACAATGCCATGACCTGGAATCGAACCAGGGTCGGTGCGGCCACAACGCAATGTACTACCACTATACTATCATGGCTTGTTGGATATCTTTCCTTATTTGGACACACCGCACCATCCTATATAACCACAGCATACCTCTGTGGTCACGTGGTCTCACATGGCCGTCGCCGTGGTTTTGCGATTTGCTTGAGCCCGCGGCAGCCATGCCAGCCGCTGGTTCTTGGCCTCGATCTCATTTTCGAGTCTCGGGCCCACAGATACAGGCCCTCTGTCGCTCTTTTATTAAGCCAAACGCTCCGACAACCAAACCAGCAACCACAACCAAACCAGCAACCACTATCAAGGTCGCGGATCGAGTGGCCGTCGCTGCGACGGCCATAGACACCTCGAGCACCCTTGTCACCCACGAAACAGGCCCTTTGGGTGATCACCCCTTCCTCCATTCTCGAGAAGGCCAGAAGAAACGAGCTCAGCGATCAGGCCTTTATCCCGATCGACTTCAAGGATATCACCTTTTCAAACAACGGGCCTCCCTCGCCGATGCCAGGGCTGTCGGGAAGAGCGTCTGCGCCACCGACATGCGCAAGAAGCAGAGTCCCCAACAGCAGCTTCAGCACATCCAGAGTGAGCTTCTCAAGAAAGCTCAGAAGATTAACGAAGAACTCGCCAAGCTGGACCTCAGCAAACCCGAGGAAGTTGCTAGAATCAAGGCCCTGACCCAGAGCGCCACCGAGTGCATGCAGACGCTCGCCTCCGAGCTGGAGCTGGGCGTTCCGAGATGGCCCGGGACGCATGCTCCAGCTCGGAGGCGAGCGTCTGCATGCACTCGGTGGCGCTCTGGGTCAGGGCCTTGATTCTAGCAGCTTCCTCGGGCTTGCTGAGGTCCAGCTTGGCGAGTTCTTCGTTAATCTTCTGAGCTTTCTTGAGAAGCTCACTCTGGATGTGCTGAAGCTGCTGTTGGGGACTCTGCTTCTTGCGCATGTCGGTGGCGCAGACGCTCTTCCCGACAGCCCTGGCATCGGCGAGGGAGGCCCGTTGTTCGAAAAGCTTCCATCCGGCTTCGTCATGGCGGGTCATCAGGCCCCAGAATACGAGGATGGAAAAATGCTTCCCGCATTCTTCCACCTTGGTGGCGGCGTCCGGGCTCATCAGCATGTTCTTGCAGACGACCGAGTGCTGGGCGTCGTCGATACGCCAGGCGGGGGGCTTGCTCCCTCTGCAACGGGAGCATTGAACTTGGTCTGCCTTCAGAGCGAAGACAAACCTAAAGCGGCGGTAGGTGATGTCTTTGAAATCGACCGGGATGAAGTCCTGGTCGGTGAGAGTGTTGTTCTTGGCCTTCTCGAGGATCGAGAGGGCCCACTTCTTTTCTTCAACCACGTCGGGCGGGTTGGGAAAGATTGCCGAATCTGCATAGAGCTCTTCGATAATTTCTTCGACGGTCTTCTTGCGACCGACGTGCAGCTGGATGGGCTCACCATCCCTGCGGTGCTTTTTGGTGGGTGCTGATTCGGTGGCCTCGGTGATATTGGCGCTACTGACCTGATGGCCGTTGCTTCCTAGGCTGCGATTTTCGTCCGGTTGGCCTGGTTCTTGGGCAGCAGGGCTGCCCGAGGTGTCTATGGCCATCTCGTTGATGGCCGTTTGGGTCGGGGGCATGTGGAGGGGGTCGTTGGTTGAGAGTGTTGAGCGGTTTGTTAATAAAAGAGCGACGAAGAGCCTGTGCCTGTGGATCCAAAAGTTGAGATCAAGGTCAAGCTCGCCATGATAGTATAGTGGTAGTACATTGCGTTGTGGCCGCACCGACCCTGGTTCGATTCCAGGTCATGGCATTGTTATTTTTTGTTTTTCGTTTGAGCTCCTGCCTGGGTTTTTCATCGCCGCCTGCTTGGTCAGTGGTTTGGCCACTGGTTTGGCTGGTTTGGTCGGTGTCGTGCCGCTCTCCCATTGTCGGCATGCGTGGCGGGCCGAATGGTTCCGCTCGTGTCCAGTTGTTCCCCAGATATTGTTGGTGCGACTCTGAATGCACCATGCAACTCTTCGCCGCCTCAACACACCTCGCCTTGGCATTAGACATCTCTGTCTGTCTTTGCTGCAACAGCCCAAATCCTGGCTGCGATCCACGACACTGCAGCCGAAACACATCTGTATCAGTTTCCTTTCCGATGATTCGATTTCATTGACGATACTGAGCCAACCCTCTCCCTCCCGAGACCGGGTCAATAGATTCTTTGCTACGAGAGCTCCTGAATATAGTCGGTCCAGAAAGAAACGGGACAGATCCCATTTCTGGCTTCAGATGTCTGAACCCCGCTGACTGACTGTAGGCCCCAGCGGGCAGGCCGTGAGATTGTTTCCCGTCCTGGTTGGCAATCTCTTTGTTTTGTTGGTTTGGGAAGCACAGTCTTGAATACACTCGGTCGATCTCCTGTGGCGATGATCGACTGGCATACCGAGATCATGTTCCTGGCTGCATTGATGTCTCGATCCCACAGCGTATGGCAGCTTGCACAGCTCCGGACAAAGTGTGGTTTCTCGATATCAAGATACTCGGGTGACTCGAGTCGCTTGGCTTCCCGACAATGTGAGCACACCTGGGATGTGTTGAACTCGTTCACCGAGCACACATGGATCTTGGAGACGGATTGGTCTGGTGATCGTCTCTGGTGATGGTGGAATTGCTCAAAGTACTTGGCGAACCTGAGTCTCCGTGGACTGGAAGCATATCCCTTCCCTTTCTTCCAGGATGCATTCCCAAAGGCAATCACCACTTCGGTCTCCTTGGACATACTTGCTTGGCCATGAATGCGATGAGTGGGTGTGTATTCAAGTTCCAGAAAAACACACTGCCCTGGTTAAAAACGGGGGTTTTCCATTTCATTTTGGAACTCCTGGATAAGAGCGGTGATTGCCGCGCGCAACTGCAGATTCACGTTGGGCTCAACGGTCGCAGGCTGGGTGACGGACATGTCGGTAGTCGATGTGCTCCAGCTCTTTCGGCGACTTCCTAGAGATGCACTGGCGATTCCGGTTGCTACAGGAAGGGGTGTACCAAGTCGTGCAGGGCCGCTATCATCGTTGTCCACCGGCTTCTCTGCCACCGCATCCAGCGATGCCTCGAGTTTCTCTTGAACTGCTTTCAAGATAGGAAGGAGGTCGTCCTTGGCCCGACGCGCAAAGTCACCTTTACATCGATCCATCCATCAACGCAACTGATTAGCTGAGGCGACAGCGCAGCGTGCCCGTCATGCCATTTGGCTGCTTAAATGCCTTGATGCTGGCGACTCGATGCATCGCAGTAGCTGTGCCAACACCTCCCGCATCCACAAATATCAGTGCGGTGAGGCCGTAGAATCGCGCACTTTCATCCTGCATCTCCCATTATCAAAATCGACCTACCGTTGGCAAGGAGAGCCCTACAGAATGTGGCAGTGTTGATTTTGACCTCGGCAGAGTATACCGGCGGAGGAGGGGCAGTCACAGACGCCCGTGGGGTTTCCTCGTCGTGAATCAGACCGCTCTTGAGAATGTTCTGGGTCATGGGCAGAAGCGAGGAGTGATACTGCACCACGATCGACAGGGCGGGCGGATATGCTGGATTGTTGCGCGAACGGGTACGTCAGCATGCATATGGTTCCGATGCGGCTGTGGGTCTGGTGGAATCGCGATCCAATTCACCAACGGCCACGGCTACGATACTCACCGTCGCATAGGAGAATCATGGCCACCAACCCCTCATTCTGGACGATGTGATAAACTTGAGTCTCAAGCGGGAGGGCGTCGAAATGGACATGCCGCTCCTCGTCGTCGAGGCTATCGATGGTGGACTCGACTTTTTTGGTGAGGAGGGCTCCAGTGATAATCTGGATCAGCGGCGGGATGCAATTGGCATCGACGACGCACTTCATCAGGGCCAGAGCTGTCAACAGAAATCCATTGGGGTGTAACGGAGCCTATAAGAAGCCGGTCCTCCTGCAGCATCGTCGAATTTGGCGGCGCTGAGTGGATGCACTGTACTCACCGTTCTCGGTGTGAATGGCCCTAATGATGTTGCCAATCATGCGCCCGCCTTCGTTTCGGATGCCAGACTCGCTGTCGTTGGTGGATCGCCAAATCAGGCTAATGACCTGTCGGAACGGCGCCTTTGGTGGAACGCTGGTGATGGTCCTAAGCGACTGTCCAAGCAAGGGGTCCGAGCCCGTCAGGACCCTGATAATGTTGGCATCTATTTCGAGGAGGAAACTTAGCGTCAGTGACGCCGCAGTTTCTTGTGCGGTGGTACCCATGCTCAGGTGGAGCAAAGCTGACGGCCATTACTCACTGTTGCCAGACGAACACAGGTTCTTGAGAATGCCGACACAGCCGTACTGAACTGGCTTCAAGTCATCTAGCTCCAAGAGGCTGGTGGTGGCCGCGATTGTTCCAAGGGAGCCCATGATGGGGCGGTTGTCCACTGGAGAATCGATAATATCGGTCAGCAACGGTTGGAAGGACCCTCACCGATGTCTCTACTCTGCCTCATGGCTTTGCATGGAGATGGCGCGACTTACCAGCAATCGATAGGTTCTTGAGCGCACCGACCACGGCATGCAGAACCTTGACACAGGACTTGGTTGTCTCCTTGACGCCCTCTTTCTTGAGTCTCGAGCCCTCGAGATACAAAAGCTCAATCAGGGCCGAGCACACATCGTACTTTTGAACCAAGATGGCGCAGGTCAAATCTGAACGACAGCGCATGCGATTCGAGTTGGAGATTCAAATCAAAGACGTTAAACCCCAAACCTAGAGCTTATCGGGTCAGAGTATATATGCTCGGAGTGCTGCCACTTTCTCCTGTTGTCGCCACGCATCCCTACCGCTGCGAGCGAGATTCCCGATGCACAAGGCACCAGACATCCGAATCTCATCGTCTTCATCGGCATTGTTTTTGTCGAATCCAAGTTTGAGCCACTGCTTCAGTCGCCCAATAATATCGGGGTGCTGCGGAAGCTCCGTCATGTTGGCATCTGCGGTCAACAAAGCTGTCAGTACCATCTACCCAGCGCCCATCAAGGAGTTGCGGGAGCAGCCTAATGCCATGGAATCCACTAGCAATCGCTGCTTTGTTACAGAATCTGGCAGTCGGTCTGTCGGCTTGTATCGATGCGACCATTCCATGGCTCTTCCACAACCCTCCTGCTGGCTGCCCTACTCGTCGTTCTTACCATTCATCGTGACGAGGGTTACAACTCGGGATACGGCTTTGCGGATCTCCTCGTAGTTAATAGCCTCATCTTTGTCCTGTTCGCTTTCGGCGCGCTTCGTGGAAGGATGATCGACAAAGTCAAGCAGGTAGCCGAGGCAGTTTTTGGCGAGAATGTATCTTTGAGCGTCGTCTGCCACCGCCCGAAAAAGGAAGGCCATTAGTCCCATGTGAGGTACTGGGAATGCTGGTGGCACGGTGGCATGGTGACCCTTGCCGGTGATCATCGCACGTTCATGCCAACTTGCCTTTTTCCCCAATCGCCTCTAGAATGGTTGTCAGGGTCTCGAGAACTTCCAGAGCCTCTTCGTAAGCTTCGGTGCTGACAGATGGGTCAATGCTTATGGCGTGCTGTTGCTTGAGCACTTTGAATATCAACAGCAAATCATCGCCCTTGATCAACTCTGCAACGCCTTCGTCTACAAATCAAGGCGAGATGAGCGAGCGATTCTCGGTCAACACCATTATATATGTAGCGATTTTCCCATGACTTGGATTGCCGATCCTTGCGCAAATCTGGGCTGACGACACCTACCTGTCTCGGCAAGGTTGTGAATGATCCGAAGGCTTTGGATCTTGAGATGAGCATAGCCTCCGTCCGAGTCGCTCGTGGCGCGCTTGAGAATTTCGATGAGCTTTCCGAGTCCATTGGCTCGAAGAATCTGCACCTGGACAGGCTCTGTGGCCATCAAACGCGCCATTTCCGTCAGTGCAGGAAGACCACCCGCCTCCCAAGAATCTTTCAGCAAATCTCGTGCGTTTTGAGGCAAATCCAGCAGTCATCCTATTACCGTGGTCCATGCTCGTGTTCCAAAGCGCGCCGCATGCAACAGTGACGAGATGTGGGTCGGAGGAGCCCAGAGACTCTACGATGCAGGGGATACCGTCGGTGGCGGCAATCGCATCGCGGTTTGATTCTGAGACAGACAAACTCAGTCGTGTTAGATACCAGCTTTCCACTCAACAGTTTTCCACTCAATAGCAAAGCCGACCACATCCCATCTTGCTATGCCTGTACGCCGTGCCCTATCACGATGGATGCGACAGGCACTGCGCGGCAGCGGTCCAGAAAGCAACGGCACGGGGCAATGCCCGGTGATTGACCCCTGCGCCCAAGACTTGACCATAAGACACGATCGCACTCACCGTTGTCAAAGCAAAGGTTGCCAAAGGCCCTGAATGTCTGGACGGTAAGGCCGTCAAAACCATGGCGGGTGCTCAGCTGGCTAGCAGCGACAAGAGCCGGGATGAGTCCTGCCTTGGCCAGCACTGGGCGGGCGGCGTCTGTGATATCCGCCGCGGGGATCAAAGACAGAGCAGGAAAGGGCGTTTCGCCGATGCAGACACGATTGTGAGATCAGCAATACCTAGAGTCGGCCCCACCAACACCCAACCCGCGAAAACACGGCTGTTGATCAAGGCCGTGAGAGCAACGGGATCGAGAAGGCTGGCAGCAGAGTCATGTCTCTCCGGCGTGCATATCGGAGCTGGTCGATCCGGACCGATCGACGACCTGGTGGAGGGAGATGATCACCGCCATCCGTGGCTCTTCTTTGCGGTGACCAGAGTTAACCGCACCTGTTTTGGCTGCCTCGGCCACCGTTTTTGAGATGATTGTGGCGAGCTCGCGGTGTGCTGTCAGGAGGTCAGGGCTTCCGCTGGCCACAGCGCGAGGCAACTCCTCCAATATCCTCAGAAACAACGAGATCAGGTCGGCGTTACTGGCGAGCTCCTGTCTCGACTCATCTGGAATCAAAGGACGATAGATCAGCCGTCAGCCGCCAGCCGGAGTCGCCGAGTCGCCCAAATGGTGTAAACAACAAGTAAATGGTGTGAAGCAAGGTAGCATGGTGTGACTCGGAAGTAACAGATCCACCAGCGCCATTGCCCTATAATCACTATCGATGAAAAGACAGCCACAAAGGAAAGCAGCAGTGTGCGAGCAAGCATCTCCAACGCGCAAATCAGGGGCAGCATCCGGGCGTGGGTATCGACAGGGCGGCTGGACGCACCGCTGTCGGGCAGAGACTGCTCCAGCAGCGTCTGCAGCGCATGAAGATCGGCCACAGCAAGGTTCTTCTGAGCAGCCCAGAGGCGAATTCTGTCGTGGTCTGAGAAGCAAGGCAAAGTTGCCGTTTGCACCGGCGAGTGTTAGGATACGTGGCAAGACAGATGCAGCCCCCGCGGATCTCCAGACGGCCCGATCGCCCACAACAAGATGGCTGGGCAGCGAAGACCCACCAAGCATCTCGGGTTCGTGTTGAGATGGCTTCGTCTGCGGTTGTTGTCGATCGGCGTGGGCAGGCGACTGAGGAAGATCGGCTGGGTGAGCGAGCGAGCGAGTGGGCGGCACTCTTGGGCCGAACTCGGCAAACCCTGGCCCCACGTGCACTCCTGGGCCTCGTCGTCCCCATTCTCTCCACATCGCCATGCTGGCTTTTGCCAGTCCGACAACCCGGGCAAGGAAAAGAGTCGGTGCCATCGATGCTCCCAATGCACTCGGTGCCGCTGGTACGGTTGACGGCGCTGGGCTCGCCGCCATGGTCGCCGGGGGTGGTTGGCCCAGTCCGCAAGGCACTGACATTCCTGCAAGGCCCTTGCTGGGTTGCTCATCCGCCGTCGGACTCTCTCCCCCCCAATCTGGCATCGCAGTCCATCGGCGGCTCTGTCTACATCACTCTGGATCTCTGCCCATCACCCCCCCCCACCACCACCACTACCACCACCATCGGCTTGCTTCCGCCCCTTTGAATCCTGCTCGCTCGTCCGATGCTGACAGGCCCCGCGTCCTCTGCCCAGCGCATCTATCGTCTTCGTCGCTTCTCGGCAAACGCTCCTGTCTCACCAACATCAGTCCACCTGAATACCCTGCTCCTCACTTCTGGTTCCGGCTCCGAGCGATTCAGCCCCCAATTCGTCTGGCTGTTGGGCCATGGTCCTCCCCGCTCTGCCCGACGACCTTTGGGAGACGATCCATCTGCTCGCCTTGAACCCGCTTCTGCCCTGTGTCTGTCGAGACCTGGCCATCTTGCTGCATACGCACCTCATCGCCGCCAAGTTCCTGCTTCGGGCTCGTGGAAGAAATCGATGTCTATCCGCCAGAGTTTTAATGCCGCCTCTTCCATTTCGCCAAAACATCGACTGCCGCACGCTACTGCTTTTGCTGCAGATGGGCGCCGATCCGTCGGCCGACTCGTTTTGCGCTCTCCGTCTTGCGGTGGCTCGGGACTGGATCGACTGTGCGGCGCTCATTCTGGAACAGTTCCACCCCGATAGTGTCGGGAACGGCCGATTGCTGGCCGTCGCGGCACAGAGTGGCTCCCTTGCAATGGTTCAGCTGCTTATCCAGCGCGGTGCCGATCCTCGGGCCAACAGCTGCATTGCCGTTCGGCTCGCGGCGTCCGAGGGATATCTGGACATTGTGCAGTTCTTGGTCGGCATCGTCGGTCCTGAGGCGGCGCTGGCTCGCAGCGAATACGCACTCAAGCACGCCACCACCAACGGCCACTGGTCAGTCGTCGAGTATCTTGTCGGTCTCAAGGATCTTCTTCGTCGATCAGCATGCGAATGCTCCCCGCCGACCGAGGCCGTACGCCCGACCATCGATGAGACACTTGAGCTCGGGCGCTTGTCATAGTGCCGCTCGTTACAGTGCCGCTCGCCATACTACCGCTCACCAACTCGCTGGCTGTTTGGTGTCCGCCCACCAAGCCAGAGGGGCATTTATTTAACGGCGGCCAATCCGGGGTCGCTCATAGGGCTGTCGTCGCAACACTACTGTATCAAGCGATGATCCGATATAGTCAATCGACCCCACTCGACTGAATACCTTCGAGACTCAGGTTTCCCAACTGGACTCGCCTGCTCGAGACGGCACAGCGAACTCTCTCCATCAGCATACTCGCCCCGGCGGATCCCACCCGAACGAAGCCATGTTATCCGGACCAAGACCTCTGTCCCTTGATCATATTGGATTACGGGGCAATGCCGTTGGCCAAATTCTCAATTGACCACTCTCGCACCCATGGACCCATCATTTTCTTGAGAGGGCAGTCTGTGATCAGGTATTATAGTTTGCCCAATGAAAAACGGGACACTCTTGATTTTGACCATCGATCAAATATTTGGTTACCCAATACCATCGCGCTGGGCATGACCATTCCGTGATGCGGTGCCACTGTCATCCATAGCCTGAGAAACGTTGCCTCCATACTCAGTGTGTCCAGGAGCACCATTCACCGTTGGTACTCCGAGACAGATCGATTGTGGAGACCGGAGAGCGACGGGAGGTCTTCACTCGGATGTGATTTGCTGAATTGCATGTGGCTCAGTTGAACACAAGCCATCACATCCTGCACCAACCTATGGGCTAGTGTCCTATTTTTCCCCTGAATACAGTGTATGATGCTGCTTGGTTCCATGAGGATTGAGTACTCGCCAACATCGATCCATCTCACAGCGCGTATCCGACGGCAGATGCTCGTTGTTGCCGCCAAAGCCCACTTGTAGCCCCAAGATGATCACCATCACCGATGGAAATTCAAGTTCAGTATGCTATATATCCGTTCGATCAACGCTCTCCATTGACTCTGGGCATTTCTCGTGGCGCGGACTCGCGGGATTCTCATCCCACGATACATCGCAATAGCACATTGATGTGTCCGTGGAGCTTCTGCCCACGTTATTTGACACCGATGATGTATGCTGAGGACAGCCGAAAGAGCGAGAGGGTTACGAACCGAAGACATCAACTTCAGACGGAGGACTATACCCTATTCTCTATTCTCCCACACACCCAGCCCTGCAACAGCGACGCTTTCCCCTTGCACCTGGCTGCTCAGCCACTCACCGTTCCATGATTCCATTTGTTGCAATTGACCTGCCACCTGGCGATACTCGTAGAGGCCGTCTCCGGTGTTGCTAAGATCCGAGCTATCCTGGTCATCGGCGTCGCTGTCCTCCCTCTCAACCTCATCTTCCATCTCGTCTTCAGCGCTCTCGACTTCGCGTTGCTCGGCACCCTTGGCGATCCAGACGTGGGTTGATGAGAAACCTGCCTCCTCCATGGCATCCCTGATCTCAGGAATGGTGTAGGCCCTGAAGGTGTACGAGTAAGCCCGCTTCATCCAGGAGCCTGGAGCATGGCCGGCAGGGCGCGGTGCCCGACAGGGTCATGCGGAGAGTTAGTCCGCTGTGAGAGTTTCCAAGCACGCACTTCCAAACATAGGCTGAGGCCGAGTCATGTCCAGATGAACAACCTACCGTCGGGAAAGCGAAAGTGCAAATGGAGCTGGGCAATGTTGGTCATGATGTCGTATGGCTCCTGCTCAAAGTAGTACTGCGGCCATCGATGATCGTGGTCAGATCCCCGCGAGGATAGATATCTGCGGTCGGTGGAGGCACCCGGGGCCCTGTCTATCCATCGGCAGAGCTCGGCACCCTGAGCAATACTCAACTGTAAAGTTGCGGAATCGTCTCTTGAATAGCCGGCCGCCAACGCTGGTCATTCTACTGCCACCAAAGAGATCGACGACGAGAATTCCGCCGCGCTTGAGCGCCTCGTGGCTGGAGGTCAGGTATTTCATCAGCTGGGTGCGCTTGTGGAAATAGTTGACTCCGTAGTTCAGCCCCGCGATGATATCGACCCGAGGTAGCTTGAGGGTTTGTCGTTCGGTACATACGTCTCCGACGACGACCCTGACTCGGCTGGACTCGGGTCCCTCCGATAGCACCACCGATCGAGCATACTCGATCACGGCCGGATCCAGATCGACACCGAAGGCCAGCCTCGAGACCGACCCTCGGCACCATTCTTTGCACAGGATCGCCGTGCCACAAAAGTCCTCGCGCAGCGACGTTGGAATGCCAACGCCGAGGTCGTCAAATCCATCGGCACCGCCATCACTGTTTTCGGAATCGGAATTGGAATCGGGATCGGAGTTGGCATCGGTGGAGGGAGAAAGCTTGGCCCACTTTTTCATCTTGGCGTAGAAGCTGAGCAGATTCTCGACTTCCTCCCTTGGATTCTGTACGGCTTCGTGGTAGCATAGATTGCGATCGAGCGACTTTGCCATGGCGACATTGCCTTCAGCGAGCCACCGGGTCAGCCGCTCGCGGTCTTGGGCTTCGAGAAGATCAACGGTGATGCGGTTCCCGGGCGAGGATGGCCCTTGCCCCTGTCGGCTAGGCGCTGGGGTCTTCTTTTTGCCATGGCTGGATGCTGTGGGCTGGGCTTGATCTTTGAGCCATCGTGAGCGGCCTGCGGGCGGCTCTTGTTCGTCGTGATGCCGGGATTTGTTTTTGTGTTTGCCGCCCATTGGGGAGCTTGGGCTCTATTGGGAGGGCCTTGGGCGATCTTGGGCTGGCCCTGGATGCTGCCGTCCGAGACAGTCGGGTCTCGGTTGGATGATCTCGGGCTGGACAGCAGAGTGAGGGCTGCAGTCTCGGCCCGCTGAAGACCTGTGTCTCGTGGCACCCGATCGATCTGGGAGGACGGTCAGGCGGCGGGGGCTCATGCCCATCGGCGGGACCGCCATCCTGCATATTTTCCGAACGTCGTCTCGGGCAGCTTTTGCACCCTCTGCCTCGCTTCTTGTCGCCCGCACCGTCGACAAGCTGTGTTGTCTGCATCGACGTTTTGTGCTGCGGATACCGCCCGTCTGCGCGATCGGCTCTGACGTTATCGCCTGCGTTCTCTCACGCCGGACTCCACCCAGCTTCTCGAATCCCACGACACGCGGACCAACAAAGCCTCATGGGCCAGCAGCTCTCCCGGATCTTCGATCGCGGCTCGCAGAGAAACGCAGCCGCTCCCCCACCGCCTTCGTCGCTGCAGGCGCTGGTCGAGGCATCGGGCCTGTACTTTGGGCCGTACTTTGTCACCAGCCCGCCCGCACAAGCGAATGCCCCCAATAACCCGCTGGATGCCCTTGCCAGCGGGTTGGCGTCGCTGACGACCGAGAACGCCCCAAATCGCAACCCACTCGCGGGAACCGGCGTCGTCAACCAAGCCGACATGCTGTGGGCCGAAATCTGGGGCGCTTTGAACACGCGCAGCGACGGCTCGGCGTCGGCATCGGCTCCTCCCGCGCAGGGCTTGGCCGAACCTCAGGCACAGGCGCCGGGGCCGCCTCAGCCTATGCAAACGATGGACGATCTCATGGCGAGGCTCGGAAATGTCTATCGAAATGTAGGGGGTGGTGTTCCGAGCCGCTGGGCGACAAGCATATGAAAGGGGGGGGTGTTGTCGGAGGCGACTGCGCGAGCTGCTATCGTGTGAGCACCGATGGGCAGAAGCCATGGATGCATTGGCGCTGGATTTGTAGCGACGGATAACAGCGTTGAAACTGACTCTTCGTGGGATGTGCGCGTGGATATCCCGCAGCCAGCCAACATCCATCAAATCACGACGCTGCAGTCCAAGGTGCATATCAAGAAGAGCACCATCCGCCTTGTGCGGGTCGATCCCGAGGGATACTTTAATCTCGAGTTTTCCTTTGATGCAGCCGTGGCGGTCAAGGCCACGATCCATTGGATGGCCGAGGAGGTGATTGCAATGAAGGTGCCAGGGCAGAGGAGCATCACGTATGTTGCAGTCCATGACGCCTTTGCAGGTCTGCTGCTCCGCCTTAAAACTGCTCGAGGCACATCGGCGATCGTGCTCAAGTCTTTGTCTCGGCGATATCCAACAGATTCAAGCCCTTGGCAGACCGTGGCAAGGACGTTCTGACGACATACTCGTACCCGGCAAAGCTGGCGCAGACCTTCCAGCAGCCCGGCGAGCGTTTCTATCCCAAGAACTACAGCAAGGACCTGTGGTACTCAGGATCGGACGAACCCGAGCTCAACATGCCTGCGGCAACGCCAGAGGACCCACAGAAGCTTGCCGAGGTCCCGCAGCTTCCCAGCATCCCTCCCGCGGCCGAAGACTCGAAAAAGGCCGCCAAAGTCGAAACCCCGATCAACTTTTTCCCGCTTGTGATTGTGCTGGAGGCGGTCGAGAGTACCTACGGCGTCCAGGCAGCTGGCATGAACTCGGAGATCACCTACGCTACGCTGATTGAGAAAAGCGACGCCTTTGAGGTCAAGGTCATGAAGCAAAAGGCATTGGTAATTAGCTGACGCGCGCTTGGGCACTAGCTGGCTAAATGGATGGGTGTTGCATTGTCGATATGCGGCCGGTAACATGGGCAGTGAACATCCAAGCGATCTAGCCGTCTCTACTGCATGCTGACCAAATGAATCGCTCACAGATCGACGGCGTGTACTACATTCTACAAGATATCTATGGCTTCACGGAAGGAGGCAAGGACGAACTGACGAAAGGTAGAGGAAGTTGTGCGTGTCCAATATCCATGCTCTATGCGAGCTCGGACCGATAGCCTTCTTCCCACGGGTGCAGAGCCAGGCGCCCAGTATCCGTACGATCCTCACCCAAATGGTTTACTTACTCCACGCCTTTGCTGGTGGTGTCTTGATTACGGACTGCTCTTCGCTACAGAGGACCTACAGTCGCAGCGAGAATGCGTCATCTGCATGTCGGAGCCCAAGGACACTACCGTCTTGCCATGTCGCCACCTGTGCTTGTGCCACGAGTGTGCCGACGTCCTTCGTCTGCAGGGCCGCGGAACCACGGCCGAAGCAAGACGCCAGGGGGCCCCAAGGTGTCCAATCTGTCGCCAGGGTGGGTCTCTCTGGAGTGGCTCTGGGGCAGTCTTGTATTTGGGCATCGGGAGAGTCTCTTCTATGACTTTGGGTCGGTCAGGCTGTCGCTGCCTCTGCCCGCTTGATCGCTCTCGTCTCACGCCCTCGCTTACGACACTTGGCCATGCGGGCGCACATGCCGACAACAGTCTTCCATTCGCTGCTGCAAGTCACTCTTCCCAAGCCCTTTGCATCTGAGGCGACTCGTCGTGATGCAGCATCGATCAAGAGCAGACATTCGCTCATAATGGCAACTGTGAGCCGACTCAACCTGGAGACGGACGCTGCAGCAATGGGGGCACGCGACGCGAGCCAGATATCTCTATCGCAGCAGCCATATGATCTGGAGCGAGGATTGCCGTTGGGATCGGGAGACTCGGCCACAGAAGCCCCAAGTACCGTTATGAGACAGGGCTCGAACATCGGAAGCTCCAATCACTCCGAGTCAGCACGCATGGCTCGTGCGCGAGTATACAGTGCCGGGGCTGCTTCTTCGGCTACAGGCGCGGGTGCCCCAGGAGGCGGATCTCCTTTCTGAGTTGGCCGAAGGAGGCCGTAGGGTTTACGATGCACGATTGTGTCTGGGAAACGAACAGGTGAGGGTGGAAGAGGACGGAGCGAGTGGTGAGCGTTTATCGCGTAGTAGAATATAGATTCCAGGGGTTTGAAGCAGTCACCAGGACGGAAACAGCTCGTGTAAGTGCTTGGGTGCGTTTATTGGTGAATAAATCCTCGGTACTGATGGCGAGATCGACTCATCTCTTTCTGCATCATGAAAAGGCAGGGATGTGACTCTCAAGCAAGATTCAGACACACGACGACACTGTCCTATATTGAGAGCACAATCTCGATCAAAAGTGGAGCAGGTTCATCAACGCATGCTGTGGGCTTGAGGGAGCAGATACGAGGGGAGCAATAACGAAGTGGGGAGCGAGGTCATGTTCGTCCACACCGCCCATTGTGCGCGCCAGACGATGTTGAGAGTGGCTTGAGGCCATGCATGTAAGCCTGCTCAAGTATACAGATTGGCGATGCTTGTTTCTCTGAAAGCATCCAGTCGCTCCAGTAGCTTTGTCCAGACTCCCCGATGGCCCGACCCCTTTGTCTACAGGATCTGTCCAGCCTTCATCGATTCTACAGTGCTTCATGCTTGTGCTGCTGTTGGTACCGATGTTGATCTGGGGAGATCCAAGGGCTGGCACATGCTCCAGGTTGCATCAGAGGTGTGCTATTGAGGTCGGGCTCTCCAGCCGTCCAGCCAACTCCGAGAGATGAGCCAACTTGGTGGACTGGGACCATGGCGCATGTAGCCGAATCTGAGCTGATCGCACGCATGCACTCGAACACCCTGAGAGAATGGGATGGAGGAGGAGGAAGAGGAGGTGACGCTGATTCGGCGGCACGGACATGTGGGCGAAAGGTACACACGGTCGAGTGGGGCAGAGTTGATTTGCCCAGGGTCTGAGGAGGAGCACTGCAGGTCCGTGAAGGGTTGTCGTCTTCGATACTGAAGGAAGGTGGTGGTGGGAAGCCCGGAAGGAAAGGGGCACTGGCCAGGGCCTCAGGCGATGACGTTCGCAGATTCGCATCAGACCGGTCCAAGGGGAGCCATTTCAATTGGTTCGGATGGGCCGAGAGACGAGACGTTGCCTGTTGCAGGTATAGATGGCTTGGGAGACCTTCGACTGAGACTCAAGAAGAAGGGCTTTGTCTGGGTCGAGCCGAGGGACTGTCGCGAGCGCTTTCTTGGCTGGCCTGGGCTGTGTTCCTGGAGCAGCTCGGCCAGGCGTTTCATGGCCTTGATGCACCCTTGATCGGAGGCGAGGCGGTACCAAGCCAGGGCCTGGTCCAGGTCGGGAGATAGGCCGAGACCGGCTTCGAGGCACTCGGCAAGGGCTTCCTGTGCATAGCTATGTCCGCGCTCAGCGGCAATGCGCAAATGGCGGACGGCGAGGGTTGGATCGTGGCCTTCGGGTGGAAAGTCGCGCAGATAGAGCAAGCCCAGCTCGTAGTGGGCGTCGGCATGTCCGGCCAGGGCCGCCATGGTAAAGTGCTCTGCGGCCACATGCAGATCCCGCGGGATCGACTTGCCGTCCTTGTAGCAGAGCCCGATGCGGTATCTGGACTCGGCCTCCGAAACGGATGCGCTCTTGCGGAACCAATCAAGCGACTGCAGCTGCGTCAGATCGAGGCCTCTCTTGGCGAGCAGGGCGACGGCGTACTTGACGATGGCGGTGCGGCTGCCGAGCAGGGCTGCCTTGCGGTACCATTCCAGAGACAGGGCAGCATTGGGAGCCGTACCCAGACCGAGCTCGTAGCAGCGGGCCAGGTTGGTCATGGACAGAGCCGAGCCGTTGAGGGCGGCGGTGGAGTACCAGTAGAGGGCGCGAGGCAGATCGGGAAGGGTGCCGAGGCCATCCTCGAAGCACTCGCCCAGGGTGGCCTGGGCCTCGACGTGGTTGTGCTGGGCAGCCTTGGTGAGCCAGTGGAAGGCCTCGTCAAAGTTGCGATGGATGCCGTGGCCCTTCATGTAGCACATTGCCAGCTTGTACTGAGCCTCGACGTTGCCCATCTCGGCCGAGTGCTCAAAGAGGCGAAAGGTCCGCCGATACGACTGGGACAGCATGCGCTTGAGATAGGCGAACGGACTGGCCTGGGGCGAGAGCGTGGGCTCGGTTGGGCTCGAGCAGAGAGTGGACGACAGCGTCTCGGAGAGCGTCGAGGAGCTGACTTGGGAGAGCTCGGGCTCGTTCTCATATTCGTCCAGGTCGCTGGTGTCATGATAGGGATCCTGAGCACGGAGGAGCGGGAGGGCTTCGTCTAGCGATACCAGACTATCGCAGGAGATTTGCTGGCCGCAGAGCCACGGGCTATTGGGATAGGGATCTGTCCAAGACGAGGCGAGAGGACGAGAGGACGGGAGGAACCGATATCCGGGCGATGGGGCGGGAAGGCCAGAGTTAGAGAGCGGTAGAACGAGCAGAACGAGCAGAACGAGCAGAACGAAGAGACAGAGGGCGGAGGAAAGGCAAAAGGATGCAGACGCAGGACATCGACAGCCAAACAGGGAGCAAAATGATGGCCGGAGAGCGCCGAGACACCCATCACAGCGTTCCGAGACCACCCAGGACAGATTCGCCAAGGGCAGGGCTCGCAGGGATACCTAATCGATTGTCCATGTCCAGTGTGCATGCCTTGATCGGTGCAGGAGAGGGCGGTGATGGGGATGGTGATGATGATAGTGATGGTGATGGTGATGGTAGTGGCGAGGAGGAGGGTCGCAGCTGGAGTTGTGCGATGGCTCAAAGTCAAACTGGTTGGAGCGATGGCTCAAGGGAAGATGGGGACCAGGCCAAGGCGAGGAAGCGATGCTGTTGGATGGCGAGCCGACCGACAGAAACTCGAGACCAGGGCCGATGCGACGGAGGGAGGGCAGACCAAGCCAAGGGCGACAGGATCCAGCGCCGGCTCAGCAGAAGCAGCGCGGCGGTCGTGGAATAAGGATGGGACGGCGACAGGATGTGTGGGGCGGCAAAGGGCGCTGTGAAGGGAGGGCCGGACGAGAGGGACGGTCAGTCGAAAGGGCCGTGGCACGGCACCGACAACGGTCGCCGCGCACAGGTGGTGTTTGGCAGGGCCGGTACGACGCATACAGCGTTGCCAAAATCACTCCCATGGCCAAACACGGCACCTCCGATTTCCGCATCGCTGGCAGCAATGGATGAGCACTGGACAAACAGCTGTACTTCAGCCTGACACGGCGACGGCGATTCAAGCGACTTGATAACCAGGTGTGCTCACATTGCCGGGAAGCCAAGCGACTCGAGAAGGCCGAGAATCTTGACATCGATACACCATGGAGCTGTCCAGGTGGCCGAGTGCATGTATCCCACTCCCACATCGAGTGGATGCATCACACTCCCACGCGCTGGACACACTCATCAGGAACATGTCTGTATTGAATCCCGAACACAGTGGCCTTGGGCCTCAGACACAGGGCGTCCCGCTTCGATATCTGTGGGTGCTGTAGAAGAGAAAGGAAAGGAAACCAAAGAAATCTATGACTGCGAGGAAAGGATGGACGGCGCGCTGTCCAGAAGGAATGGTCGGTGCAGAGCTCCGCCGCGTCTTGCGCATCTTCTAGTTGAGGAAATGCTCACGGGCATAAAGGACGGCGAGCAGAGGAGGACCCTGGCGAGCAAGAGCGAGGAGATGGATAGTTAGCGAGGAGTGTTTGCGCACATTACTCTGCCGGGCGATACAGGCAACGGGATGCTGTCGGAGTGCAGGCCCATCATCAGCGAATACAGTCAGCTCGCTCACCAGGAACATTCCGATCCAAAAAATGATGTTGCCGAGTGTGCGGTTCTGCTTGATGATCGGCTGGCGACCAAGCCAGATAAGTGGCAGCTGGAACATTTGCATCAGGAAGAGATATAGCCGCAGCCGACGGCCGACGACAGCAAACACCAGCTCGTGGATGCACGAGCTCAAAAAGAACACGAGGTAGGTGGCGTTGGTCTTGCTGATCTTGAAGGACTGGATGCTCTCAAAGTAGACATGACGCAGGAGGAATTCGTGGACCTGTAGGGTGTTGGTGGGAGAGGCGGAGGTGAAACCAGCTATGAGTGGACGAGCGACAGGCACCGACTCGGGCCAAAAATGCGAACGGGGTCTCTAGGTGGATCATGCGGCATCTGCAACAGCATCGGCGCTCGTGTCGACACCAGCACCGACAACAGCATCTGCTACAACATCGACACGGCCGGCGTGCTTACAGGGCGATTCCAGCGTCTTGCAAACTCATCGAAACTGGCCGAGTTCCACCAATCATCATAGAACCGACGATCGGCAAAGCGCGTCAACTCGGCAAAGCCATTGCAAATACACTGCATTTGGACGAGGCGGAGGACAGAAAGTACGATGTGTTTAGTGTGGGGATGGCGGCAGTGGGCACTTGGGCATCTTACTGGGGATCAGCTATTCTACAACAGTGCCGCTGCGGCAGCATGGAGCAGCATTAAAGCAGCCACCGCCGATCTTGGCTTACCTCAAAGATGATGAAGAACACCAGGATGTAGCACACCATAAACGGCATCAGCAGCCCAGCAAAGGTATCGAGATAAGAGAGGGTCTTCATGGTGTAAAGAACAGGGTAGATGTAGTGGTCGACGATGAACAGAATGAGGCCAAAGGTACCGAGGGTAGCGCAAATCTTTTCAAAGACATAGATGAAGCGGATCCTGGAGGCGATTGAGGCAGAGACCGCCATGGCGAGTCAACGATGGAAGGATGGACAGGCGGATCGTTAGACAGCGTTGCCCGATCACTCGACATCCAGACAGTTAGCACTGCTGTGTGACAAGGTGTTGCGCCGATATGAGGCTTTGGTGATGCAGTCTGCGGGCCATGCGTCCATGCGACTGGCAACGCTGCAGATCCTGCAGAACAGACACCGACACGCGAGCGGTGCTTGAGCTACCAGACCAGGACGGCGAACTTACTCGGAGGTACGAGGGTACTCAAGCTCGTAGACAAGTGTGGGAATAGCCATGTAGTCGATAAAGTTCATCAGGTTGATGTTCTTGGGGAAATCGTGGGCGGGCTTGTGGAGTTCAGTATAGAGGCCGTAGATCTCGAAATGGATCTCGTCCAGCCGGGCCTTGATGGCATCAGGGGTTGCGTTGGGGGCCGTGGCTGCAGGCTTTTCGTCGCCGGTTTCGTCGTGGTCACCACTGCGCTTCTGGATTCCAACGAGGATGTCGCGCTCGTTCTGGAGCTTCTTGACGTGTCGGGATTTGTCAAAGAGCTCGAGGTTGGTGGAGATGTACGAGTGCTGCTTCATGAGCATTGCAGTGGCGTGGAGCACAAAAAAGCCGGACTGGACCTGTTTGCATGGGACAAGCATGGTCAGCCAGGCCAATGAAGGTAGCAGGAGGGAGAGGTTCTGTTTGGGTGAGGGCCAATCTGTCCAGATGCAGCATCGACTTACCCAGGGCCAGTCCTTGTAGAAAACATAGCCGATACACGAAAAGTACCAGAGGGTCTGCCAGCTGTGTTGGACCGTCAGGGCCAGGAACCGGGGGATGATCCCCCAGACAACCAGCTTCATGATGACCACGACCATAGCACACGAGCAGATCAGGGCCAGGTCGGCAAGAGCCAGGCTGATGCCGTCTCGGGACACAAGGTGGATAAGATCGAGGCGGATGGGGGCCGCTGTGATTCAGAGGGAAGACAAGAGTCAGAGGGAAGGCAAGAGTCAGATCCGGCAAAGACAAGGTCCAATTCAGCGAAGGCAGAGGCAAGGGGGCTGGATTGGACTGTGCTGCTGCACTGGCGTGATCATATCGATGCGATGAATGTGTTGCTGTTGCTGATGCATGTGGTGCTGCTGGATCCGCATCAGGTACACCCGCAGCCCATTGGGGCTTGCATACGCATTGGCAGGCTGTAGCAGTTGCCAGCGAGCCGCTGAATCACGGCCCCGGTCTGGCAAGCATCGATTGGTGGCAACAAGCCCGTACCTCCTTTTGACCAGTTGGTGTAGATGGTGATGAGGACATAGAAGACCATAAAGATCCAAAAGAGCACAAAGAAGCCACGCATCGGATTGTCCTCCCGCTCAAGGTTGCTGTAGTCGAGCTGCGAAGGGCGAGCCCGGAACGAGTTTTTGCGGCCTCGTCTGCGAGTCGAGCCCGAGGGTGTCTGTGTCGGGGTGGCGCTGGTCGCGGCAGCGGAGACGGGAGGAAAGAGGTGCTGGGGAGCCGAGCGGGCCACTGGCGAGCGGACGGGGCCGTTGGAGGCCTCGTCGTCCGTCGAGACGATGTCGGAGACCGAGTCGTTGCCATCATGTGCGATACGGTCGCCCAGGAACCGGGGGCCAGGGCCGGCTGAGGCAGAGGCTTGCTTCTGGAGAACCTTTGTGAGGAGCTCGTCGCCCTGGGAGTGGCGAAGATATGAGCAGGCGAATACAAGGTATGGGTCAGATGACAGCAAGTGCATCGAAGAGCAGGAGTGTATATCAGGGGGGGGTAGCTCAGGTATTCCTATCAGAGAATGGCGATACGTCGACGCAGAGGCGCGAAGACGAGTCCGATTCATGGGATAGAAGATACCAACAACCAGGGGGGGGGCCGGCTACTGAGCTGGCATGAACAAAGAGGGAAGAGCCAGGAGACGAGAAGATAGGTGACAGAGGCATCGACTCACCTTCTTTGGAGATGAGGACATTGGTCAGGATGGGATATCAGTTGCAGGACAGAGACAAGGATGAGGTGCTGGATGTGGGGGCAAGCGAAGGCAGGGCTGGCGATGGAGGCAAAGGCAAGGCGGGATGGAACGAAGGGCGGGATGGATCGAGTGGATGGCGGATCGAATGGCGGATCGAATGAGCGAGCTGGATGGAGCCAGGACAAGCCACCGCACTCGAGCCGGCGGATCGATCCGGTGGACAGGGCACTCGAACCACACACACACACACACACACACACACACACACACACACAGCCCAGACGGCCTTGTCCGCCTCGCCACCGGGCCCGATCAGGCGGCCCCGCGTCTGCCCCCTCCGCCTGCCACCCGCGCACGCTTGCGACGCGGTCACGCTCTGCTGTCCAGCCGCCGAGACAGAGCTGCAGCCCCCACCCGCCCCGCACACGCCTCCCGCGCACCCTGTCGCCAACAAGGGCGCTGGGCGGCACGTCCTCCGCCCAGGGCACACGCCGCCCCTGCCCGCTGCCATTGGTCCGTCTGTGTGCGACCATGAGGCTGCCGCAGCCACCGCCGCCTGGCTCCGACCGCGTCAGTGTCCCCCCCGCCATCGTGACCGCGCCGGTAACCGCGCCTGATGGCCCCCTGTGGCGACACTGGTCCGACCCTGGTCCGACATGGGCGTTGGCTCAACCACGCGCGCGTTGCGCATGGGCAGTGGTCTGGTGCGGAGCCACAACGCTCCCATGCTGGCGACACCATGGCCGCCATGGCAGATCCCGTCCAGGAGAAGGACAAGAGCGGCGAAGCGAAGGAGGGGAGGGGAGTCCTGCAATGTCGCCCCGCGCTGGCCCTTTGTCGAGGCAAAAATGTGCATGGCATTGCGGGCTTGGCATGGGCCTGCCTGGTCATGATGGCTCGCTGGCTGTCCCGATTTGTGCGCGGAGGAGCCTTGATCGGCTCAGGTGGGCGGCGGCCATTTGCGCGGTATGGACGGACGGGAAGTGCAAGGGCCTCGACTCACCACAGCAGGACCCGATACGACGACTCCACACGACCCAGCGGGACACCACTACACAATCCAGCGGGATGCACCCGTCGACCATCGCACGATGCGTCGAGATGACGAGCCTGCTGCACCAGACGGACGGACGGACGGACGGACGGACGGACCGCATGGCCAGAACCGGTCCCGTGCCAGGATGGCAATGTTGCGCCAACGTGCTGGTCGGCCTCAAAGTTTTTCTGTGTGCATCACGCTGGGGCGCCGCACTCGCACACAATTCGGTCTGGGCATGCCTCTGTCTTTTTTTGGGGGGAGGAACCCAACGTGTGCGGACTGCGGTGGCGGCGGCGACGGCGACGACATGGGTGCGTTGGGTTGTGTCTGGAGAAGGAGGGTGGGACATGCCCGAATCCATGGCAGGCGGGTTCCAAATCCGCCACCGTGTGCGACAGCCGTGGGAAGTAACATTTCTCGACTTCTGGGGGACAAGAAAAACACAGACGCATTGCTTCGCAGTTGGATTTTGTGTATTCACGGATACAGCCCGACATCCACGAAGAGAGCAGCACAAAGGTCCACTTTTCTTCCGGAGATGGGGGCACAACAACAGACGGGCGAGAGGGATGGGATATAGACAGGCGACGCCGATAGAAAGATGCTGATTGCAGAGATCAATGTGAATAGATTTTGTGTGTGGATATCGTGTATTGGACCAAGCCAAGCAAGTGGATTGGATGGAGGGAGCGATGGGGAAACGGGGCGGGAGAAGGATATATAGACATTTCATAAATAGCGAATGAGTGCGAGAGATGGGTCTTGACAAACAAAGTAAATACAGAGCAAGCGTGAGGGAGAATATGGACCGAGTGAGAGAGAGGGCAAAGCGAGAGGCAAGCGAGCAAGTAAACTATATACTGAAGGACAAGACCGTGTCGCAGCGACACAGCCAGCAAGGAGAACATATATGGAATCATCATAAAACAGAGAGGGGGGGGGAATACATATAGTGGTGGGGGAAGGACGAGAGTTGCGGTCGGCGGACTCGATTAGATGGCGTTGAATGGGCAGTAGAGCATGTTCAGACGCATCTGGAGGCTCGGTGGAAGAGCATAGTAGTAGTGCGACGGGTGATACGCAGCAACAGACTCGGGCACGCAGACGGGCTCGGGTTGCGGCTGCGGTTGCGGCTGTGGCTGCGGTTGTTGCTGGAGGTAGCAGCGCGGAGTCTCGCTGAGGCGTCGGACAGCCTCCTCGAGCGACTTGAGCCAGTTGGCGTAGACATCGTCCGAGACGTTGAGGTCAAAGTTGATGGTGTTGAGAAACACACTCTTCATGAGAGCACAGTCGGAGCGCGAGATGCGCGAGACGGTCGACCACGATGCCGTGGTGAAGGAGTGATCGTTGAGGAAGGCATCGGCAATGATCAGAGCGGTAAGCCACAGGGCCATCAGCCCGCCGTGTTGGGTAAAGATCTGCGAGGTCTCGGGCGAGGGCGCGCGGTAGATTGCACGCTTGAATCGCTCGAGATAGAACAGCGACAGAATCACGGTCTCGGTCGAGGAGTTGGTGGAGGTCAGGACGTTTTCGGCAAAGGCGTGGAACTTGACGGAAGACTCGGAGCTGACCTTACGGCCCGAGATAATGTAGGTGGCCATGGGGACGACAAAGTCGGCACCGAGGCTGTTGGATGAAGAAGCGGCGGTAGCAGCCGCAGTAGTCGTAGTCGTCATCGTCGTCGACGTCAGCAATGAGTCCGATGCCAGCACCGGTTGTGCAAGATCCAACTGCGAGGGTAAGACGTAGTCGGGGTGCGAGGTCATCGAAGTTGCCGAGTAGTCCGAATACACCGACAGTCCACATGTGTCGTCGTAGACCGACGAGTTGATGTGAACGGGGACAGACAGGGCGTTGAGGAGGGTGGAGGGAACAAATGCCATTCTTGAAGAGGAAGCAGCAGCAGCAGCAGCAGCGGCGGCGGCAGCGGCGGCGGTAGAAGTAGTTGGGATCGACAGCGTCGACAGCGTCAGCGGCCGATCGGCAGGCGGCAGAGCGATTGGGTTTAAATGCAAGGCTTGATAATCCAGTGCGGACTGCCAGGCAAACCCTGAGTCGGGATGGGAGGCAGGATCCCAGGTAGCGGAGGAGCCGGGAGCGGTGTTGGAATGGTCAAAGGAGGACCACAGGGCTTTATATGCGGCGGTATCCAATAGATAGTCTGGGGCGTGTGTCGGATGACCGAACTGACCCCCGCTTTGATCGGAGTGATGGTTGTTGAGAGCAGACGAGGCAGCGAGTGCAGCCAGGACCAGAGCAGTAGCCATAAACGGGAAAAATAAGAGGGGGCACTGGCAGCGACAGCGAGGGAGGAGCGGCAAAGCACGATCGGTCCGGGGACGGTGATGCTTTCGCAGGTCGGAGGGAGCGCTTTCGGAGGGACGGGGCGAGGACGGAACTTGTCGTTCGCTGGGTGGACGGGCTGGATATCGGGAGCAAATGCGCTGTGCCGAGAGGCGAGCGAGTCGCGACCGTATTTATGAAAGCACCGAGAGCCATTGGGTAGAGCAACGCAGAGCCAGGGCCTTTCTCGGTGCTGGCTCAAGGACTGAAGGGCAGCCCGGCGGCCGTCGACAAGGGATCAACAAAATAGCGTTATTGGTTCTGCCCCCATGTGCGTGGTCCCGCAACGTTGGCTTGAGCGTTCTGGGCAAGGCCCGGCGCCGGACGCGAGACGACAAAGGAAAGTAAAGCTTACCGGCTGACGCTTCTTCTTGGGTCCACGTCGAAATCTTGTGTACCAACGTTTTTTCCCGCGCAACAGCCCTGCGCGGAGGGGGGGACAGACAAGCGCCGGGGCGACAGCCAGTGGCTGTCCCACGACAGGGCAGGCTGGAGAGGGGAGAAGAAGAGAAAAAAGCTTATTCGGGCAGCGGAGGGGGAGTCTGTCTGACCCCAGCCAATCCCCGCTTGTCCGGCAGGACAAGAGACCGCTCCGGACACAGCACCACTGCCGCGCACAGACCCACACAGTGCTTTCTCGTTTATCGCATTTGTTTGTGCCGGCGAGGACAGGCAAGGGGACGGCAGCGGAAGCAGCACGCTGTCCGCCAGACGCAGACTGTGGGATGTGCCGCTGGCTCGCGTCCCATGACACGCCGCCGCCTTCCGTGCGGCTGCCAAACTGGGCAGGCGAGAGCGCACAGGGCGCGAGCGGCAAGGCCGGCGCTGGGCGGGCGGTGCTGTCGCCCGACACTGGATCACACCAATGCAAATTTGCCCCTGTTGTTGTTGCTGTTGACTGTGGAGATGCTGCTGTTGGTGTTGGTGTTGGTGTTGGTGTTGTGTTGGTGTTGGTGTTGTGTTGGTGTTGGTGCTGCTGTTGGTGTTGGTGTTGGTGTTGGTGTTGTGTTGGTGTTGGTGTTGTGTTGGTGTTGGTGTTGCTGTTGGTGTTGCTGTTGGTGTTGCTGTTGCTGTTGATGTTGCTGAGGGAGCACTGCGGCGACGACCGCGGCTGGAGCAGACGCCCGCGTGGACCCGGTGGAGTGCCGGCAAGGAACGGGCCAATGTTGGCGCGTTGCGATTCAGGGCAGCCGAAGCGCCAGGATGCTTCTCTTGTCGAGGATTTGCCGCGCGTCTGCGGATGCGGCGATTGTGTGGTGCGGCTGCTGCTGTTGGGGGGCAGATGTGGTTGTCGCTGGTGGTCTGTGCTGATAGGGGCTTGATCGGTCTTGCTTCTGGCTTGATCGGCCTTGCTTCTGGCTTGATCGGTCTTGCTGCGGACTGCTTCCGGCTGTGGCGGCGTCGCTGTGTGGCCAGAGGCGATCGCCACTCCCGCGTGTGCGGGTGATGCTTCTCTTGTTCGGCGGGTGTTTCTGCTGTGGGGGGGATGCTGTGATTGCCTCTGTTGTCGTCCACAGACGGCTGGGATCGGTGCGCCTGCGACGGCATTTGCCGTGCACACAAGGCCGCCCGTGCGGATGATTGCCTTGGCCCGCCACGCCGGTCTTGTCCCGGCTCTGTGTATCCCCGGGCCTTGTCGACTTTGCCCCTCCCGCTGTGTATCGGCCCGGTCGCGCCTGTGTTGCCAATCCTGCCTGTTTGCGCGCGCCCGCTGCCTCTTCTCCTGTGATCGACCCGATCGGCGGCTTGCCTTGCCGTTGCCGCTGCTGTCGCTGCTGCGGTGCGGCTGCGCTGTGGCCCTCCCCGGTCCTCGCACACCGCATCCGCCCGCTGCCCGGTCCCCCCCTCCCGCTTCCTGCTGACTCGCGGCCCACCCCGGCCCACCCCGGCCCACCCCGGCCGTCCAGCCAGGCGCCGCTTGCAGATGACAAAACAGCGAAAAAAAATAGGACCACCACCACCGCCGCCGCCAAGGCCCGACCAGGCCGCGCTGGCCACACACGCTCTCCACAAGCGACTCGGCAACGCCCCTGTCTGCGCACGGCTCGATCAGGGCGCGGTTGCACCAGGGCACGCAGATCGCCACAGCGGACCTCGAGTTTTGGTTGTGCAATTGCCGATGCGTGAGCGGGTGCGAATGTCGGTCTCCGTCGCGGGACCTGCAACGCTACCCGACTCTCCGCCGCGATGCCGTCCTGCCCTGGCGATCCCAAACCCGTCCGGCGAGCGTCACCGACATGGGGCCGCCCCATCAGCACGCACGCTGTCGCTTCCGCTGCGTCCCTTCGTTGATTGCCATGGCCGTCCCCCGCCGCCGCCGCCGCATTCGTCTTGCGCGGGCGTGGCGCCTGTCCAACCGCTGTGGGCCAGCCCGTGCCTCGCTGCAATTGGCTGCCCCGCCCCCATCGCCGCCGCCGGCCGAGCTGCTGGGTGCCCGTGTGGAGGAAGCCGCGAGAAGATTGGCCTCAGCGCCGTCGCCACAAGGCCCGCTGGGAGGGGGCCCAAGGTACATTCATTTGTCGCGCATGTTTCATGCCCGCGGCAAGGCCGGGTCCACCCGCCTCCACCGCAGCGGCCCCTCCGCTCTGGGCGGACCCCTCGCCGATCGCGTGGTGGGACAGCCCGAGGTGCGGCTTTGTCTGGGCCCCACAGCCCGCGCCTGGTGCATGCACTGGGCCGACCACGCCGTATCCGGGATTGCACAACGTCTTGCCTCTGGCGACATCGTGGCCGCCTGCCTTGCGTCCCTCGCACCCGAAGCCCCTTGCTGCCTTTCCCATCCTCGCCAACGCTCGCTCCTGGCCCCATGCACTTGCTCCACCCGCCCTTGCCTCTGCTCTGTCTGGCCTGCCGTGTCCCGGCCCGTTGTGTCCTGGCTTCCTTTTTTTTCTGGCCTCGATGCTGCGGGACACTACCCATCCGCCAGGCACAGAGCCATGCTGTCGCCGTCACATGCTTGCTCCGACCCGGGCCAGGGCAAAGGGGGAGGCATGTGTCTCCGTCCCCGCGCCCGCTGATTGGGCAGCGGTGTTTGTCAGATCGCGTTCCATGGCATCCGCGCGTTCTCAGGATGACTGGCCTGGCGACAACAGAGGCGGCCCGATGCCGATCCGTCTGGAGCGTGCGAACCGGCGCTCGGCCATGCGCGGGGCTGTGGTCTTGGCCATGCGCGATCCTTCGGGCTTGGTGTGGTCTCGAGCTCGATGTGATCTCGACGGGCGGCGTTCGTTCGTTGTGGTCGGAAGATTGCTCCCCCCCCGTCGCCATCGGCTGGTTGCCGCCTGCCTTCCACCCGGCTTTCCCGCCCAGCACCAATCCATCTCCGTCTGTCCGCTGCCGCCGCCGCCTTCGTTGCAATTCCTTGGCGCGGACTTGTGCAGCGCCCGTCCGCCGCCGTCGCTACCGCCATCCATCAGATCGCTCGTTGGACCCACACCACCATCTCCGCCCCAGTAAACTCCGGGTATGGCGGCGCCTGGGTGTGTGCCGGGCGGAATCAGCCAGGGAGACCAACAATCCGGGCCAGACCCCCTCCCCCCTCCTCCTCCTCCTCCTCCTCCTCCTTCCAGACCCCCCTTTCCGCCGCCTCGTCCGCTTGGCCCGGGGATCAAATCTGGTCACCTTGGCCAGCCGCAAGCTGCCGGCTTTGGGCGGAAGCGATCTCGGCTGATCGCCGCCAAGACCGGGATCCAAACGCGGTGATCACATGCACCGGTACCTCCATGTGTGTGTGTGGCTGGCTGGATCCAGTGTGCCAGTGGATCGAGTGTGGCTGACTGGATCCAAGGTATCCAACAGAGCCACTGGAACCGGCGGATCGAGTGCGGCTGGACCCAGCACTGCCACGTCGCCATCCCGCGTTTCTCGCCATGTGCTCGCTTGGTCGTCATCGCAGACATTCCGTCGACCCAAGCGATCATCGTCGCCCGCAGCCATCCCTCTCGACCCACGCCCCCCCTCTGGATCAGCGGCGACCTCCCTCAGGCCCCATATCCCGCACGCGATCGTCTTTCAAGCCGTGCTTTTCATCAGCGTCTTGCTTGCAACTTTTTTTTGTTTTCCACGTGTCCCCATCTGCCGCCTATGGACCCCGAACTCGCCGCGATTTTGAAGAGGCTCGAGTCTGACAACCAGAATCTGAATGTGGCATCGGCCCTGGACGTCAGTCAGATTCTCACGCAGATGGTGAGTGCGTGCACCTGCCATTTCTGCCCCCTTGTCCCTCGAGAATGGATATGCGCTCGGTCTTGCCGATCCTGGCGGCAAGCTCATCGGCCATGATTATGCACACCGTTGTCACCACCATCGTAATCGTAATCGCCACCATCATCGCTCGGCGTATCTGTGCCTTTCCGCTCAGCATAATGCCGACAATGCCCTCTCCAGCATCGAAAGTAGGACCAACGCCCTGCTGGCCAAACTGGACCAGCTCCTCGCCGACGACAACCTCCCCGACGGCGACTTCCCCGACGATGCTCTCGAGTCCTCTCTTGGTACCGATGTCGGCAGCGCCCTGGTCGACATTGACGAGAGTGCCTCCGGCCTGCCGCTGGACGAGGCTACCCTCGAAGCCCTTGCCAACACCGTCGATCAAATGACCATGTCGCTCTTTGCCCTCGAAGCCGCCAAGACACCCTTCCCGCAGTCCAACCAAGAAGTCGAAAGCCTCGTCCAGGACAACGTCGATTCATCGGCCCTCCAGGCCAAGCTGCTTTCCCCGGCCGCAGAATCGGATCTGTTGCAGGCCAGCAGCTCCTCGGTATCGGCGACAAGCAAGCCCCAGCAGTAGAGAATGCAAGAGAATGCAAGAGGGAAAGGAACGGAAAGGAAAGAGATCAGCAAAGAACGTGTGAGAGTGGATGAGTGCGCCCTTCTGGCTGCTTGCTCATCACTCTACTTGAAGCACCTCTGGATGCGATGGGGTTGCCTCTGTCGATCGATTCGTGTCCGTGCAGTTAGCGAGTCGGGCCATCTTCAAGTTACGTCTTGAATACGGCACCAGGTTCGAGCACAACCACAAGCGCAAATCAAAAGCGGGACGGTGCCCAATCCCGCTCCTTTCCACCAGCACAATCTTGAATACACCGGGTCGAGCGAGATACCCGACCAGGCACTGCGAACATTCAAACAGGGTGGTCTCCTTTGGCTTTAGATGCGCTGTGGACGATGTCACTTGCAAGAACCGCCGATCCCCGATCGAGCACGGCATTGCGACGCGAGCGTGAGTCAAGAACATACGACCATTGCATGTGGATTCATCATTTAGTTGGAAGATCTGTAGTACAGAGCGCAGGAGTGGGGGAATCACATTGTTTCCAAAATACTGGAGTGCTAAGAGGGGGGGGGGACACATACGAAAGACAAATTGAGCGCACGGATGGCGCTGCCAGTGACGACTGGGAATGACGAGTGGGGATGGCATCTAGTACCAAAGACAGTGCCAACAATCCCGACAGAGGCGGGGGGAGGAAGCGAGCAGGAAAGAAATTAAAAAGAGGCATCGTTGCAAGAGAGAAGAACAACAACAGAGGTGGTTTGGAGGATGAGGTGCTCGATTGCGGTGGCCGTAGTCGCCCCGGTGCACGACTCAACCGAGGTAGCTGGTGGGCACGACACCGACCATGCCGGCATGGTTGCGCACACAGCTCCAGCCGTCGTCAAAGGAGACCAGCACCGTCACAGCCTCCCCGAGGCGGATGCTCAGTTCGTCGCCAGCTTCGGCTTGTCGTCCACGCATCACAGTCTTGTCGGCGCTTCCTTGGATCTGAGTCGCCCCAGGCACTGCGGCACTACCGGTAAAAGCCGGTGGCAGCGTCCCGGGGGCAGAGAATGTGTCGGTTGCGTTGGCCGGCTCGGCACTTGTGGGTGTCGCCAGGAATACTGACAGCTGGGACGACGAGTATCGTTTCGGTGGCAGCTGTTCATCGGTATTGGCACAGGCGCTGGCTGGCTGACTGCCCACAGTCAAAGCTGCACCTGTTGTGCCCGGTACCACCAACCCCTGTCCATGTAAGGACGTGCTGGTCAGAGTCTTGGCCGGCATCGAGCCCAGGGCCTTTTCGTTGGAAGTTGACTTGGGGCCGGCACTGAGTGGCTGGGCCGACTTGATCGAGCCTCCGCCCGACGATACAACCGTGGCCACCTTGAGGACCTTCTTTGCACGCGGCGGCGCTGCGATCGGTTGAGCCTGGGCCTGGGATGATGCCATGCTAGCGCTACCAACAGCACTGCTACTGTTGAGGTTGCCGGGGTGAAGTGGAGGGATCACCGGGCGTTGGCCACTGGGTGGGGTGGGCTTACTCTCCAGCATGCCTTGGGAAGCGTGTTGACCGTTGACCGGCGCGGTGGCCATTTTGGGGCCACCAGTCTGGACATTGGTTGTGGCTGCCAGGGAGGCAGGTATCAACTGCGGGGCCGGCTGTATCGTTGCTGGAGCTACGACGTTGGGCTGAGGGATCGACGAACCAAAGGTTGTCGGACGCAGAGGGCTCAAGGGCTGCAGCGAGTCGAGAATTGGGTATGGGTTTGTGCGAGTGGGCGAAACAACCGAGCTGGAGACGGAGCGTGAGGGCTCTTTGATGGCGCTAATGTTGCGGGTGGGCTCCAGTAGTGGTTGGCTGGGTAGAAGAGACAACAAATTGGACGGCACCGAACTGCTTGCGGAGGTTTGCGTAGTCGCTGGTGCCGTCGTAAAAGAGGCAAGGTAAACCGAGGGTACTTGACTAGGCTGAGGAGCGGGTTGGAATGGATACCGCGACTGAGGTCCTGGCTGGGCTTGAGATTGGGATTGAGATTGGGATTGGGATTGGAACTGCGTTTGGGCGATGAATTGATTAGGAGCCCACAGCTGAGATGGAAGCGACTGTGACGGCGGTTGCGGCTGAGACGGCGATTGAAGTTGAGGCTGGACTGGTGCGACATTGGTTGCGTTGGTGGACATGAGCGTTTGTCCCGACTTGGCCAGGCCGCTGGCTGCATACGGCTGCGCCGTGGTTGGCATGGGGAACTGGCTGCCACTTCCAGCCCACGCACCGTAACCACCCAGATCCTGCTGCTGAGGTTGATATGGGGCAGTCGGCCGCTGAGGTGTGGCGTACAGGTCCTGCAGGAGCTGTCGTTGCCCAAACGATGTCTGCGGCTGGTTAACCGGGACAGCAGGGGCTTGCTGGTGAGGGGTCTCTTGAAGCCTGGCCGATTGGAAGGCCGGCGGCGGTGGCGGCAACGGAATCAAGCGGGCCTCATCGTGAACCTGCGATACCGTCTCCATGCTGGAGCGAGACATGTCGAGCGAAAGCGACGGGTTGCTCCAGGACGGAGGCACGCCGGATTTGTCTTCGCCATAAAGCTTGGGTGGCAATGGCCCCATTGACATGGCGCTGTTTTTGCCCACGCTTGAGGGTGTGCGCTTCATGAAGCGGTATCCGCCAAAGATGGCCAGTCCGAGGAGCACGACGCCCCCAACCGCTCCCCCAGCAACGGCAGCGATGTTAACGCTACCGGTGTTGCTTGGAGTGTCAGGCGGTGAGGTTGGAGATGCTGTGGGAATCGTCGGATTCACTGGAGGCGCTGTTGTCCCCGTCGGCACCACCACCTGCGATGTTCCGGTTACAACAGCCACGCCGCTAACGGGGACGACGAACGGGGCATCGGATTTGGTCTTGCACGAGTCGGCGGTGAGACACAGTCGCAGCACATAGACCCCCGTGTGAATGTTGGACGGGATCGAGGCCGTGATGGTGTTCTGGATCATGGGTGAGGGGATGTTGGCAGGCAGGTTTCCACTGCCGATGGCGATGGCGTTCTGGCTCTGATCCTGTGTTCAAAGATCGCGCGTGCCAGTTTTGATTGTACATGGCCGTGCTGAGTTAGGGGATATGCCCGGCTCGTCTGTCCCCGCAAGGCTGCCTCGGCAGAGTAACCGTTCTCGCTGCATTCTCTGCTTTCGTCTCGAGGCCGTCCAGCACAGCCAGTCCTTATCGCAGCGACACTTACGATCAGACTAAGGGTGAAGGCACCGCCCAGAGCGGTTTGAGCAAAGAGATTGCCTGAGGGCATGCACGAGACATAGACATCGACTTGAGTGCCGGCACTCCACGTAGGGTCGCTTGCCTGTGAGGAGGATGCGAGGGTAGGGACAGGAGAAGGGCCAGCAGACAGGGCAGATGAGCAGCTTTTCAGGGGAAATAAAACGCTGGCTGGAAAGGCCAAATGCAAAAGGCGGCCACCGGATCCGAAAAGGGGGGGAGATAAAGTTTCTTTCTGTTTGCCGTTTGCCATTTTCCGTTTGTGGTGAGCGGTCGCGGACGCTGCACTGGCTCGGAGACCGCACCTTTTTCTGCAGATAGACGCTGAAAGCACTGGCCGTTGGCGCACAGAGCAACAGCACAACAGCCGCGAGCAGCAGCGCCGCCCGGTCGAGGCAGCAGGAGAGTGCTGAGGGCATAGCGATCCTGGGTCGCAGGAGCAAAGGCCAGAGGATGGAGGAGAGAGGGAGGGAGGCCAGGCTTGGATGGCGGGCGGGGTTTGCTGCGACGATGGCGACGTCGATGGGATGGCTGGGTGGTCTTTTGGCGCTGAGCGAGGGGAGGGGAACGGTCGTCGACCAGCCGGGCGGCAAGGGCCTTTGTATGAAAGACGGCAAGGGCTTGTGGTGGGACGCGGATGCGCGGGCGCGTGCCACCCCACGGACACGACACGGGATCCGCTGTGCCGCCTGTGCGCAGACAGTCAGTTTCTTGGTGCCGAGCCAGCAGAATCCGATATGGACTCGATGCCGACCGGTCATGGACCATCATGGACCATCATGGACCGTCATGGACTCGGCGCTGGCGGGCTGGCGGGCTGGGTATCGATGGTGCAGATCCGACATGGACTCGGTGTGTTCTGCATGGGCCCGTGAGCGCCCCTCGACCGATATCGCTGCAGCGGCCGGAGCCAGTCCCGTCCACCGCCAAAGCCACAGCCACAGCCGCGTGCGCCATGCATGTCGCACAGCTCGTCTTGCTGCCCTCTATGTGCACAGAGGACCGCCGTTCCTGTTGGCGTGGCTGTCGCGGATGCGCTGAGCCGACACACGCAGCGGCGCCAGCCCTCGATCCGATTCGGAATGCATCTTTTTCTTTCCCGTCGCATGCAATGTGTCAGCCAGAATCGATAGCCGCTGACTGGACGCCATGCACCAGCCAGGAAAGCCAAAAGCCAACAGCCAAAAGGCCGCCGGGCGAGGCAGCGAGACATTCGCCGTAACACTGGAACAGGCCAAAATTATATCGACGCCATTACGAAGACCCCATACGCCAGAGCTACAAGATAGTGCTAATTACAACCCCATCCAAAACAACACCAAAAATGACAACGCAAGCAGCAATTCATCCAAAGCGATATGGTACATGATTTACACTCTTCGAGGGGAGGGGGCCGAGAAATGGAGGGAGGAGGAAGCAAGAGGCGTTTGCGCCGTCTGCCTTGGGCCAGAGCAGGGAATCAGTCGCCGTTGGGGCGCCGATCGGGACCATTCTTGACCCGGCGGGAGCGGAGACTCGGCTGCATCGTTCCTAGATATCCGCCGCCACAAACGCCATCGACGAGTCCTGCGATCTTCGGGCATGTTTCTTCTTGGAGCTGGCGCCACAGCTGAGGAATGGGTGCACCACGAGCGAGAGAAAGAACGAGAGGGAAAGAGTGATTGTTTCGCAGAGCCAGGCAAGACCGACGATGCACGAACCGAGAAGGAGAAAGGCGGAGGAGGTGCAGAGCCCGCGGCGATGCGCGATTCACAGATTCGGAATGTATTGCATTTGATCATATGTTGAGCATAGCGCCCACGACGCGGGAACGACAGGCAAGTCGGGGGGCGGCGTGCGTAGAAAAGCGGACAGAGTGCCCGGGAGCGCCAAGGATGAGCGAGGGAATAGATGGCGGGAAGAAGAACAAGAAGAAAGAGGGGAACGATGTGGTTTAGTAGAGCGGACATTGTGCTGGACATCACTGGCGTGTCCAGCATGTAAGTGATGATTCTTGAGTAATCGGCAGGCTGGCCGATGTCTGACTATGGTGCTTCTATCTGGCAGCGGCTGTGTTGTACTGGGTGCACTGAGTGTACTGGCTGCAGCGTGCTCTGCTCGCTAGCCCGCGGCTATCAACTGGCGGCCGAACATAGTTAGCCATCCAGCAGCTGCTGGTGGGAGATATCTCCATGCTTCATGATCGATCTAGTTCTCCACCTTCTCCAGAAGTAGAAGCCGCCGCCTCCGAGCAGACACAGGAAGGCAACGCCGGCGACCGAGATGCCAATGATCGAGCCGGTGCTGGGCGGGGCAGGGGTGTTGGTGATGAGAGAATCGGGGTTGTTTGGGTTGATTGGGTTGTTGGAGCTGTGACCGCTGACGGGAACAACGAACGGGGACTCGGTGTTGGATCGGCAGTTGTCGGCGGTGAGACAGAGCCTCAGTTTGTAGGTGTTTGTGGCGAGATCGCCGGGGACCGTCACCGACACATTCGTGGAGACCAGGGACGAGTTGATGCTGCTTGGAAACGTGCCCGAGCCAATGATTGCCAGCTGGCGCTCGGTGTTGTCCTGGATGCGAGTTGGAAATGACGGATCAGCCAGATGCGAGATGGGTTCTGGCAAACAGTCTCCCGAAGCGCAGCGACAGAGGCGCCGCGATGGCGATGGCGATGGCGATGGCGATGGCGATGGCGATGGGTTCCGGCTGCTCGCGACATGGGCCGCAAGGCTCGAGGCCAGAAGCAGTCCATTCCCGCTCTAACCACACCCAGCGTGTCAGGCGGGCAGCAATCTCCCCCATGTCACCAGGGATCGGTCGCCCTACCCTACAGGCAACAGCGCAGCGAAGGAGCGGAGAGAAGGGAGAAACCTACCACAAACGAAATAGTGAAGCCGCCGCCGGCAGCCGAGTTGTTGAACCGGTTTCCGTCTTGGGTGCACATGACCTCGATGGCATATTGACTCCCGGCTTTCCAGATCACCTCATTAACCTATAGTTGGCAGCAGCAGCAAGGCCGTGGACAGCAAGACCACGGGCAGCAAGACCACGAGCAGCAACGCGGAGCATATACCGAGCAGTGCGGCGGTAAGTGAAGGCTCGCGGAGTCAGAGGGCATGGAGGCGTGGGGACGATCGCCGCCACGATGATAGCCCCGGCCTGCTCTCCCCACTGCTTGGCATAGGGAGGCGCTTTGCCGAACCAGCTGCCCCATTTGCTATGCCTGTGTGTATGCTCGGTCGAGAGATCGGTGTGGAGACACCTCGGGAGACTTTGATGAAGCCCGTGGCGTATCCTTCCTGTCTGGTCTCGCTCCTCTTTGGCTGCTGCTTCAGCCACATATGCACCGCATGGCCAGACATCCTGCTTTGCAGCAAAACAGACGAGTACCTTGAGGTAGACGTTGAAGGCATCGGCCCAGGCTGCCGCGCAGGCAAGGAGCCACACGATCTTGAGCAAGAGCGACATGGTGGTGGTGTGTAGATGCAAGTGTAGATGCAAGTGCAGGTGCGGTTCAGCGCCAGACTCGGAGGGATGGGAGTGGGTTGCAGGCAGATGGAAGGCGAAAGAGAACAGATGGCTGACGGACAGACGGACGGACGATGGACGGGTGGCAGACGGGCGCCTCAAAAGGTGTGGTGGCTCGTCGCCGTGGCCAGGCCGTGGCGGCGGCTGGTACGACTAGGCGCGTCGAGGGCCGTGCGCGTCGCCCGGGGCCAGCCTGACGCCACCACAGCACAGGACACACAGAAAACACAGGACTCAGTATGCGCAGCACCACAAACCCGTCCCGCCAGAAGGTTTTGAGTCTTTCTCGAATTGGAGCGCAGCCAGGCTTCACCGCCTGCACCGCCTGCGAGGGTTGGGTGGGGGAAGCAGGGATATGGCCTTTGTCTCGGAGGTGGCGGTGAGCGTCGCGGGGACCATGAGGGACAACAGCCACCGGCGTCTGGTTGGCGTGACCCATATCGAAGCTCCCGTCGCAGACCCGCTGGCAGGAACGAACCAGTCCCAGCAACAGCGATGATGATGATGATGATGATGCATGTATTTCGGTAATCGAGGCGATGAGCGAGTGCCGCCCGTTCCATTTGGGACGGGCTGTAAAACAATGTATGCGCATATGGGGGGGGGAGTGACATGAGTGGGCGTGCAAGGCAGGGCAGTTGCGTGTGGGTCAAGAAAAGCAGGCTATCAGTTTCGAGATCGCAGGTATCGGCAAGGTAAGGCAAGGCAAGGCAAGGCAAGACAAGGCAGAAGGGGGCAATGCAGAAAGGGCCAAGTAGTATGGAAGGGCAAGTGTGCAAGATGGTCATGCAATACAGTTGTGCAAGGCGGCAGGCCGCGGGGAGATTCAGATCCAACACGGGCCAGGCGACAAAGCCAGGACCAAACGAGCAGCCTTTCGTGGGCTGCCATTCCCCAGCAAACAGCACTACCCTCAGATCGGCGGCTGTTGGATAGCCTCCCGACCAGTTGGGGCGGGGCATCCGCGAGTTCCCGGGACACCGAAGCCGGACCCGTGCTTGGCTGCAAGATCGTCGATCGTCAACTCGGGGCCACAAATATCCAGGAACAGCTGGTTGAGTCTGCTGTCCAGCGCCGCCTCGAACCGGGGCGGTGCCTGGGGCTGCATTGGGGCTTGGCGTACTTGAGATGCGTGAGATGCCTGGGGTGCCCGAGATGTCTGGGGTGCCCGAGATACCTGCATCGCTTTGTTGCCGGCCTGGCCGGGTGCGCTCGCCGTGATTGCCGATGTGTCCGGATATGCGCCGTACGGCCTGCGTCCGTGCCAATTGCCGGGCAAGTGGTTGCGCTCAAACTCGTTCTTGCCCGAATATGCAGGGGTGTATTCCAGCACATGGCCGGGCTGGCGCCGAAGCGTCGCAGGGCCTTTATGCGAGGAAACCAGATGGGCCATGCGGCGGATGAGCCCACGACCCTTTCGAGAGGCCCGACTGCCGCTCCGGGTCACGGTGGCTGGAGATGGAGCCAGGGCAGGACGTGCGGGCCTGGGCTCTGGTTCCGACTGTGCTCGACCGATTGCTGACGATTTATCGGGGCTCGCCCGACCGTAGATCGGTTCGGATAGCTGTGACAGACGGACGCTCGACAGGATCGAGACGCTCGAGATGGGGCGGTGCACCATTGTTGCGAGGGTGGACTCGGATGTCGGCCGGGCGCTGTCGTTACTGCAGCTGTTGCGGCGGTCGCTTTTGCGATCGCTGTCGTCGCTGTCGTCGCTACCATTGTCGTTGCTGACGTGGCTGTCGCTGCTGTTGTTACAATCGTTGTCGTAAAGTGGGTCGTTAGTGGCTGATCCTGAGGGAGGCGACGCGTTTCGTCCCAACGTCGATGTGCCAGATGACTCCAGGTCCAAGTTTCCCGCAGCCAAGGACGGCGATGCTGTGATCGAGGACGAGATCAAGGGCGACGCCGGCGTGATCGGAAGCGAGAGAGTTGCGGGTGACCCCGGGCAAGGAAGATGGCGGAATTGCGTCGTAAAGGAGAAGGGCCGGCGCGAAGGCGACCAGTTGGCGGGTGGGCACGGGTGTGGGTTGCAAAAGTCGTCGAGATAGACGACCTCGGAAGCATCGTCGTCGTGCAGGGTTGTGGTAGAGGAGTAGCGGTTGGGATCGGTGTCTTGGGTCCGGTCCAGGCTTTGGACAAGATGCCCGTCTTGGGCCAAGGCAGAGTCGATTTGTCGTCGCTGGCGGCCAGTCGGATACGGGCTCTGGTCTTCCGGGTCCGAATCCAGCTCTCCAAGACACCAGGAAAACGTGGGCTGCTTGCGGAGGGTGACTGTCGACTCACGGCGACCGGCCCGGGAGAAGCCCTTGATGAGGGATGCGAGCCGGGTGGAGGCCTTGCGGGTCAAGCCGGTCTTGAGCACAGCGATGGACTTCCACCTGCCGTCGAGCTGGCCGTCGAGCTGGCCGTCGAGCTGGCTGTTGAGTTGGCTCCCGAGAGTTTCTGCGGGTAACTGGGCGCGATCGGGATGGCTGTCGCTCATGGCTGCGTTAGAGCAGTCGATGGTTGGCTGTGGCGGAAATAAGGCTGTGGATGGATCTCGCTGACTCGAGGCAGCTGGCGAGACAAGTCTGCACCGGAGTACTATGCGCCGTGAGACCGTGCCGGACCAAGTGTTGCAGGGCGGCGTGGGAGGACCTTGGCCAGCTGGGCCAAAGCCGGGCGCCGGCCTTATAGCCCGGGCAGTACGGGCGGAGGAGCAGAGCGGGCGCCCTGGATCGATGCTTGCCAGTGGTGGAGGAGGTAGGGGAGTCGGCGTGCTTGTTGGTTCAGAAGGGTCCTCGTTGCGGACAGGATGGCGGGAGACCAATGTGAGGCCGGCTGGGCTTTGGGCGGCTGTGGATTCGGGCGCCGAACCACAGCACGAAGGCGACAACAGGGCAGTCCTGGCCGTTGGTGCTGACTGTCGAAGGGGAGTGGTGTTGTTTGTTGTGAGGGGTGGAAGCGCCGGCTGTTGGACGGTATCGAGCGGTATCGAGCGGTATCGAGCGGTATCGAGCATCGTTGAGGGCTGTCCAGCGCCGTCGAAGGCTGTCGAGGGCTGTCGAGGGCTGTCGGTATCGGCACTGTTAAACCGCAGGGTCAATTGGCGGGTATCCCTTCAGCTCTGTCTAGTGTTGCTGTTGCTGCTGACAGTGTCCGAGGATGCAAAAACGGTATGTGTTGTTGCAGCGACGTCGTCCGGCGCATCCCACCCCCACTGAGCAGCGCAGTTCCCCAGCCCAGACCCTCGCAAAGGCGAAAGGAGACCAGAGAGACAGAGAAAGAAGGGAGAGGGGTCGATAGGCGGGCGGAGGTGGTTGGGCGACAGACGGCTGAGGATCGGCGAGTGGTTTCGCACGGTCGACCGGGGGATACACTCCGCGGGCGGACATGTCTCCGCTGCAGAGCATGCTGCGCTGGCTTGGGTCTCGAGGGACAGTTTGTGTCGATGGCCGACCACTGGTGTGGCCTATCGATCACCAGAGCGGTGTGCCCGCTCGGCACCCAACGAACCGATCTGGCGGGAGTTGCGGACAACGACCCAGCCTGGCGCGCAAACATGGGGCGGGAAACGGAATTGCCGAACAAGCGATGCTGGACAGGCGCTGCTGGACAAGTGCTGCTGGACAGACTTGCCGGGCGAGTCGGCCCTGGATGGGATATGGCCATGTCCGCCCAGCAGGCATCGCTGCGCTGGTGGTCGTGGAGTCGTGCGCGACGGATGATGAGCGGATGCGCAAGCCGGCGGCAAACAGGCGGGCAAGCGGGCAAGCGGGCAAGCCGACGCACTGATACGGACGGAGTGGAAAGCGAAAAGCTGACGGCTCGACCAACTACTCCGTTTGTTTTCCGCCGCGCAGCGCTGATGTTTGGGCCCTGTGTCTGCATCCACTTGCATCCACTTGCATCCACTTGCATCCACTTGCATCCACTTGCATCCACTTGCATCCACTTGCATCCACTTGCATCCACTTGCATCCACTTGCATCCGCTGCCGTCCGCTTGCATGGGCGGTATCGGTCAAGCGCTCTTGCGATATTTGGCCCGCCAAGAGTAGGGGCCGGTCGTTTCTGCGGAGCCAGTGCGCCGTCTCCTGTCCGAACAAATGTGCCGCGGCAATCCCGGCTGGCACCGCACTGCTCGCCCTGGTCCATGCTCAAGTCTCTCGTTAGTTATCGATCCGTCTTCTAAAGCAGATCCTTGGCTGCATTGCATGTCCCCTCTGCCCACAATCCATTGCATGTCCCCTCTGCCACCACGATCCATTTTATGGCGTGCTATCGCTCGTTGCTGGAGGGCTGTATTGGCTGGTTTCCTGCTCTGGTGCTCGCCTCGCCATCAGCTGGCTGCATTTGCAGTGTTGAATGCTTCGACAAATTGATTCGTTTGGGCCTCCAGCTGCCGAATGAATGTGACATTGATGTGCCCGGCTGGCCAGAAAGCCTGGATGGCGTCTTCCGTAAGTGCCTCGGGACTGGCCAGGACAGTCGGGATGTCACTCGCCAGCGACGATGGCGGTGGCTCGTAGCTGACACACATTTGGTTGTAGCTGTCCATGGCGTCCGATACCTTGACTCCAAATATCGTCAAGGGATCCTGAAGCGTCGCTTGAGCGCCGGTAGGAGTATGCCCGCCGTAGTTGAATACATTCGACGTGTTGACTTGCTGCCAGTTGTTCCATAGTCGATCGATGTTTCTGTGTTCGGGACAAAGGGTTCGCATCGATACAGGATGGAGTGAGCACGATGCAATGCGGCAGGGCGCTGTATGCCCCAAGCCGGCACCACCCATGCAGAAGGCACAAAGCCATCACCATCACCATCGCCGGTTGTCCAGCGGTGGCCACCAATAGCCCCATCGCAAACATCCCCAGCAGTTGTGCTTACGAGTGGTGCAGGAAGAAGATTGGGTCGTTTGGGGAGTAGCGCGGATTTGTAAAGTCTCCGTTGAGCCCACCGGCATTGACTGTCCCCAGGCGAGATTCCATTCAGCAATAGATAGCTTTAACATCAATGCTCCTTGTCGGACGTTCATCGCCCTTAAATACCCCCCGCTCGAGTGCTGTCGACGATTCAAGCTAGATCGGAGCCTTCTGCTTGTCCACTCCAGACAAACCATCGCCATCAAGGGACAACTTACCATGCGGATATCCATGGAAGGCTTCCAGCGACGGTGCAAACTGGGCAAAGGAGGTGACGTTGTCGAGCTGGTCGATCACATTCTGAGGAGTGAAGGCGCTGATGGTTGTCGCTGTCGTCCATTGGCGCTTGATGCACTGCCCAGCAAGCTGTGTGGGATACATCTTGACCCAGGCTGCAGATGGCATGGCCATGTGAGTGAATGACTCGGTCGGTGGGCTGGAGAAGCTGCAGCGACGAGATATATATGCCTCGTTCTCCAGCTCACACCACACCATTGAAGCGCTCGTCCATGCCGCACAGGAAGCAGCTCATGGTGGCGGTCCGTTTGACGGCTACCCGAGTCGACTCATAGAGGAGCGGCTGAGACATACATGCAGCGATTCCGTCTTGAAGGCAGTTGTTGCCAATGTAGGTGTGTGTGCCCCAGTATGGCCCCCAGATCGAGGACAGCTGTGGCGACTGCGAAACCTTGAGATTGCTCCAGTCCCAGTACGGCAGCGTGATGTTGCTGTTGATCCGCTGTAGATGTTCTTCGTAAATCTTGATGTATACTCGGTGCCAGGGCAAGAATGCAGCCTGCGGCGTGCAGATAAGCGTCGGAAATCAATATTGATTGCTGCAAGTTCTTGGTCAATCGCACCGTTTTCCACAGAGCGATACAGCTTTGGTGTGCCAGCCGCACTCCCAGGCAGCATGTCGCTTGGGCCAGCTCATAGAGCAGCAACTAGAGACCCCTGATACTGACCACCCCGTGTGCGTTCATGGCATCGGTGTAGTGGATGTTGACAAAGTCATCAAAGGTGAAGGTGTTGCCTGGAACCTTGGGGCCCTTCTTGAGTTGGTTGACAGCATTTGCAAACTGACTTTGCTCGGCATCCGACAAAGCGTCCCAACTCCGCCGCACACTGATTTTGGTGCATGTTGGCGACGGCGAGGATGACGTTGATGACACTGCAGGCACAGATGTTGATGCTGTGGGGTACAGAGGCAGGGAAGACTGGGTCACCGGAGCTGTGCTCGCTGGTGAGCTTGAAATCGGAGCCACATACACCGGATTTGGAGCCGAGCTGCCCGGGGGACTCGCGGATGCCGACGGATTGACGGCGGCAAAGCTCGAGGCGGATGCCTTCTGTGCTTCAACGGCCCGCCAGATGCCAATTGCAACACCTGCGGCGACGATGAGAACAATGACTGGAATGATTACTCTTCGCTGGACCATCTGCGAGTGCCGGTCGTGTTTGTTGAGGCTCAAGGACTGGTTTGCTGAGCAGGGTTCGTGCGGCTCTGAGGCGAGAGGCGGAGACTGTGGGCTCGAGTTGGGATGCGAGTAGACGCTTGCCAGTCGGTCACGGCACAGCTCTTATACATCTCTCCAGAGGGGCAGCAGCAGCGGCGGCAGCAATCGGAGCGATGGACTTTTCGAGGACCAAGTGCTGAGTTTCAGGACTGATCGGTCAGACGACGCGTTCGAGTGGAGCCCAAGTCGGGCTCAAGGTTTGCTGATCGCGGGAGCGACATTCGGTCGGTCCTCGTTCGATCATTTGTTTACGGCGCTCCTCTCGACCAGGGGCATGCTCATTGGACTCGGCCACTGTGAATGAGCAGATCGGATGCTCAGAGTTTCGTGCCGGTCGGGTCCGACCAAGACGGCATCAGAATCCTCCTTGGTGACATTCGACCGGCGCCACGCTCGACCAGTCACGGACGCAACTGTGGCTGGATCCATATGCCGAGCGAGACGAACACCCAGCATAATTCTCTCGGCCGGGCATGGAACATCGTGCAGATAGGCAACTCTCGGGCTGTCGATTCCGCCAAGACACTTTGGACAAAGTTGGATTGCTCCGAGGCCCGCGATATAGCTCAGGGCGAGGCCGCGGGTGGGACTTTTGAGAGCTGTGGCTCCGACATCTCGGTGCTCAGAGTCTCTGCTGGTACGCACGGTTTGCTGATGTGTCGTAGCACGGATTCGAAGCGACGGCAGCACGCCGGCCGATGGAACCGACTCGCTGGAACGAGCGACCGGGCAACATCGAGACGAGAACAGGGCTCGAGTCGCGAGCGAGCGGCACCGGCACCGCGACGTTGCGTGGCTGCATGTCAGTGCCCGCAGAGCAGCCGCTGGTGATGCTGGTGATGCTGGCGATGCTCGCACACCGTGTCAAGGCTCGCACTGCAGGTCACACTCAGGGCAGATCCTGGGTCACGCTGACAAGGCCGTGTGCCAGGAAGGTCGGTCGCGTGGACAGTATCGCGAGGCACAGCCCCTGTTGTTGTTGTGGAGCGAGGGGCCAGCGAGGGGCTAGCGAGAGCCAGGCGAGGACGGCCCCTGTTGTGGCAGCCCACAGATGCTGTGTGCAGTGCGCTCCTGCGGCTCCTCGCCCTGGTCTCGCCGACTCAAAGTCCAGTCCGGTCTGCTTTTGGTCCGGCTTGCCTGCCTTCTCGGCGTTGCTCTCGCTTCCCCATCCAACCGGGCCGGTGAGTCGAATTCTATTCCATTGGGTGTTGTCCGGCAGAGATCGCCGACGGGGCTGATGCCACCTCCCGCATTGATGGCCCGAGCAGTCTCGGGTTCGCTGCCGTCTGCCTCTCCGTTTGTCCCCACCCTTTGTTTTGTTGGATCCTCGCGGTCTCGGCTTCAGTTCCGGCTCCAGCCTTGGCCTCAGTTACGGCTTTGGTTTGCAGGCTTCGGCTGTCCGCCCGTTCGCCCCTGCAAATCTGATTGTCCGTCGCCGTGTGCATCCAAGAGCAGCCGCGTGTATCCTTGGCATCGCATCCTTCTCGTGCAGCCACTGACCAATGCGTCGTCTCGGTCTCGTTCTCCCGCGATTCATCTGTGTTTGCAGATCCTGCTTGCAACCCAGACGGATCTCGTTCCACCGCACCATTCCCAGAATCGCTGCGGCTCCCACCACTCGCTGTCGGCGCCTTGCTCTCCGTCTCCTTTATCGTTTTTCCTCCACGCATGTCTCTCTTTTCCACCGGCGCCGAGCTCCCAGAGCAGGAGCGCCTGGAGTTTGTCCATGCACCGCACGCCTTTGAATCGGACCCTCGCCCGTTTCTGGCCTCACCCGATTCGCCCTTGACCGAATCTGTCGAATCGGGTAACGACGCCCTTTCCACGTCCCGGTACTCCCTGGCCAACCTGGTCCAGGCCTCGTCCTTTCTGAATGGCTCCTTCCGAGACGACCCCTGGCATCGAGCCTCGGACGAGCTGGGTCTCTCGTCTCCATCGTATTTTGCACGGAAACGCCTGGCTGGCCTGTCTTCGCCCTCGCCCAAGACTTCGACAAACCGCCAGGCCTCGCTGTCGCTTCCCTGGTCGCCGCAGCTCCCCTGGGCCGGCTCATCGCAAGGTGGTCGCTCGGCCGACAACATCGATTCATACGATCCCGTCAGCTCCTTTACGGCCCAGGCGCCTTCCGAGCTCGCTCCATGGCAGCGCAAGTCTTCCGTGTCGCTGGCCTTGCCCAACTATGGGCCCGTCTCCCCGCCCTCCTGCGACGGCAACGGCAACGGCAACGGCAATGGCAATGGCAATGGCAATGGCATTCCCATTCCCGTGCCCAACAATCTGCAGGCCCGTCGCCCGGCCATGGCCTTCACCGCTCCCAACGCCCCCGCCGCCCCGAACATGTTCTACTCGAATTCGCGCGTCTGGGTTGCGCACTTTCGTCGCAGCCTGCCTCCGTATCTGCGCTACTTGTCGGAAACCCTGGCTCATCTGATGTGCTCGGGCACGCCGAGTCCAAGATCGTCCCACAGTTCCCATACCCAGCCGTCTCCTCCCGACCCTGCCCCGATATATGGCCTTCCAGACGAACCTCAGTCGATGCCAAAAACTGCTCGGGATATTCTGTCCGACACCAGCTTGTTCGATCCCATCAACGTCATCTCGGGCCTCTCGAGTCCCGCGAGTGGCGCTCGATCGGCTAACGATCCAAGAAGCCGCAGCGTTTCGATCGCCGCAGATGCTGCCCTTGTGTCGATGATGGCGACAGTCGAGCCCGTCGATTTCACCATCCCACCGGCACTCATCACCATCTTCATCGCCTGTCTGCTCTACTCCACCGCCGTTCCCACGAACGTTGCGCTCCTGGCCGTGTATTATGTGCGGAAGCTGCGGAGCATCTGCGACAGCCGCGAGTTCATTTCCGGATGCGAATTTCGTCTGTTTCTGTAAGTCCCCCTCCCCTCCTCCTCCCCCTCCCACACATCAGCCCGGGAATGCTCGCATATTGGATGTGCTCTGATGGCTTTCCTGCTGCCCAATCTGCCGAAAAGCGTCTCGGCCACTGACAGTCAGTTTGCACAATGTTGACCTCCAGAGTCGGCTTGATCTTGGCCAAGAAGTATCTCGACGACAGCGAGTACATGCGGAACTTTCGCTGGGCCAAGCTTATTGGGCTGAGCGTCGTCCTGGTGAATGTAAGTCGGGCCTGTGACGTTGGCTCGCTGTTTTCTGCGAGTCCAGGCGTCTTCACTGTGACGATGCCGATGGGGCGACGGAGCGGAGGCTGTTTCGCCGGCGGACTGGGAAACATCAAAGTTGATCCACCCACTGCTTGGACAAAGATACCCTTTGTCTGTGCCAGAGTATATGCGGCTCTAACGCAGCTGCCCTGTCTGTTGCTAGAATATGGAGCGAGAGTTTCTCGCGACCCTGGCCTACGATCTCGGAATCAGCTTCGTCGACGGCGCTGTCTTGAACTGGAAGAGTCTCTCGGACGAGTTTGAGGCTGTTGCCAAACAAATCACTCCCAACGGAAACTCCAAGAAATGGCTTGAGGAGTGGCAAACCTATGCCAACGAACACCGCCGGCCAATCCGTCCAAAGACCAAGGATGATGCTGACAGCCTCGAGGATATGCTCAGCCTCTCGGATGCTGACGAGCCCGAGCCGGAGCAGCGCAAGTCGCGAGCCGATCTACTGATGGACGAGCGGAAGCTGTCTCTGCGCCACCTGAGTTCATCCCGAAATCGCCGTCGACACCACAGTGTCTCGACCGACGGCGGAGACGAGCACGCGCAGAACTCGGCCGACAGTCTCTCTGGGGCGCGACTGCTATCCACAAGCACCAGCAGGGTTGCTCCCATCCCGATTCCAACCTCGGGTCTCGGCACCAGCTACACTGCCAATGCCGGCGGCATAGGCTCCTTTGGAAGCTACACTGGATCGGTCTCGTATTCGTACCAGCAGCCCGAGGAGCGGCGAGTCCGGCTGCAAAAGGGCACGCCATCAAACGCGTCTATCACCACTCTGGCGAGTTCGCTCCGGAAGCCCTCGAGCACACTGTCGATTCGACTCCAAGACTATTCCGAGTCGACCTGAGCCGTACACCAAACAGGCTCAGGCTCAGGCTCAGGCTTCACGGTAACTGCCCAGTTCACACCGTCACCTTCCCCCTCCCCAAGTCGCCGTCAAGCGTCTGGCTGCCGTCTTTTACGCTCTTTCGATCTGTGAGCCAGCAGAGACACTCCGCTGTGCCACCCTAATCTTTCCGTACCGCAAAACTATTCCCCTATTTATATGTGCCTCCCGCTTAATCTGGACGGCTACCACATGCTCTGTCCTGATTGGCTGTTGTTGTTGTCTGTCGAGTTGCATGTCCGGCAGATTTGGTCATCTTGAATTATGCCTGCAATCATACCCATCATATTCTGTTGTATCGGCAACACCGCCAACCCCATCAGCACCCTAAAGCCGCCTGCGAATAGTGCTTTTAGGCACCGATTGCCGCCTTTGAACGGTCTGCTCGCAGTTTAATTCCTCCTGGATCTTCTGCACCCGAGCAGCCAATATTGCACCCGTCTCCCCTCCTCATCGCCGATCCTGCTCATTTCCGGCTGGAGACACTGTATGGCCGTGGACACCACCACCACCACCACCACCACCACTGCTCCATAGTCGCTTGGATTCTGATGTTCCCCTCCTGTATGTACTATTGTCTGGGCATTTTCTAAATGTATTCAGTCGCTGCCGTCGTCAATACATCTGTCGCCACACAGAGATTGTGGTGTGGGCGAGTGCTGGGTCGTGGCGATCATTCTGGAATGCCCATGTTGCTGTTGCTGTTGCTGTTGCTGTTGCTGTTGCTGTTGCTGTTGCTGTTGCTGTTGCTGTTGCTGTTGCTGTTGCTGTTGCTGTTGCTGTTGCTGTTGCTGTTGCTGTTGCTGTTGCTGTTGCTGTTGCTGTTGCTGTTGCTGTTGCTGTTGCTGTTGCTGTTGCTGTTGCTGTTGCTGTTGCTGTTGCCGTGGTGCCCGGTGCCGGTAGCAACGACTCTCGGTATCGTCATCGTTGTTCCGGACGTATTTGCTCTAGACCAGTGTATTGGCAGGAGGATTCACGAGCAGTGAGGTAATCGGCTTGCCGGTGATCCAGCTCGTGGGTGGCTGGCCTGGACGAGGAGCAAACCAGTAATACCACCAATGCGATGTTGGCACCGACACGGGCGGGCGAGTCTGCACGGCCACTCCGATAGCAGCCAGGATGCCAACCATCGACACGAATGCCCAGATGGCCCCTGGGTAGAATTGAGGCGACGGAAGCGGGCCCATCATGGCCATGCCCAGCAGCTCCAGGAATCCCGTTCGGGCAAAGACGTCCACTCCAACCGCAACCAGGAGCGAGCCCACAAAGGCGGAGCCACAGGCGACAATCAGTCGCTCGACCCAGAACATGACCACGATGCCAAGCATCGAGATCAAAAGCGTGTAGATGATGTGGCTGGTGTGGTCAAGGATGGATCCGACTCCGAGGATGAGGATATACTGGGCGAGGGCATACCCCGTCACCAGGCCGATCATGATGGTCCCAAAGGTCACATAGCGCATGAAGACCATGGCCCCCAGGAACCCTGCCAAATCGCATAGGATGATGTAGGCCCAGTCGCCGTTGGGCCCGAAGCTGAGGCGTTCCGAAATCGCATGGAGGATATGGAAGACGATGAGTCCTGGTTGGGCAGTGGAGGAAGAGAGAAAGGAAGGGACGGATGAGAGAAAGAGTGAAGGAGGAAGAGTAATGCGTGGCCATGAGTCAGTGTCGTGTCGTTCTCAGAGGCCTTTGGCGTGTGCTGGGGTGGACGCATTTGCCTGCAATGCATCCAAAGGCTTTTGAGTATGGGAACCGCCACATGCCTCCGAAAAGGCTTCCGGCCACGAACAGCGTTGGGTTGTTGGATCTCAGGCCCCAAAAGCAGAAGGTAATGCCGGCAATCAGGAACAGAATCGATTCGATTGCCAGGGCAGCTGTCAGCGGACGGGTCGCTTCAGGGAAAACGCAGAGACAAGGACGGTGTGGAGCTTGAGCGGTCAGAGTCTACGGCACTAACAATGACGCAGTCCAACCATTCGCAGTGATTCTTGGAAGGACTCGACGGCGTCCATGTATCAGCATGAGGGGCGACAGCAGAGGCATCTCTGGAGGGGTGCAGCCAACCAGCCAGCCGCGTCGCGTTCTGATGCAAGGGGCTGCCAGCCGGACTGCCAGGGTCGGGAGAGAGCCACGGCGACAGCACCCCTGGATTGCAGCCCAGGCCCGAGCTCGCTATTCCAGGCAAGCAGCGGGCCGGTGAAGTGAGAGGTGAGGGAGGATGGATGGGTGGAGAGAGGCTCGCGGACTTACAGAATACGTAGACCGTCACGGACACAGCAGACAAGCCCCAAGGATTGCTCATGCCGCCTGAGACGATATCTGGATTGCCGTCCGTCGAGTTGGTGATAGCGTCCCGGACGGCAAAGGCGGGGAGCGCATTCTTGGAGGACCTGCGAAGCGCGGCCGAGGTCGCGGGAAAGGCGCTGGCTGTGGTCGAGAGAAGGGCAACCAAGACAATGATGAGGAATGCACTCGCTCGAGAGCCGTTCATTCTTTGGTCCCTTTCCGCGGCGCGATATGGGCTTTCTCCTGTCACGGAGGGGGAAGGCGTGGGATATATCGCAGCGTCGATGCAGTGTTCGGCGCTCTCTCGCGCCGAGCGAGACAGGCAGAGATATGGCTCCCGCCTTGCCCCCCTCGGTGGGTCGGCTGATCCACCGCAGCGGGAGGAGTAGCGGCTCAAACCTCGACGATGTGCGCTCTGGTGCATATGGGTCGGACAAATGTTCGGTGATAGTTTTTCTTTTGATATTCAGGAGCAAGCATGGCAAGATGACGATAACCGAATGACACTTGTGAGGGTTATGCCATCTTAGGCAAGCAGCGAGAGAAGAGTCCGCCACAGATTCGCGAGCAGGGGGTTATGGCTTCTGCTACTCTCGACAAGCAGGGAAGCACAACTCTTGGAGTGGATTCGCTCTGGAATTCCAACGCTGAGGGATGGGTCTCCAATAGCGACGGACGGCTTCAAGGGGCCGGCCGAAAGCATCAGGCGTACGGGGGAGGAGGGGGGTTGGGGGTGTGTGGTCGCCAGTCGGAAGGAGGGGGACGGATATAGTCATCGTCGTCCCAGGCTGGAGGGGCGTCGATGTAGACGCCGTCGGGCGAGCCGAGGCCAACTCGGTGGACCGTGACCGGGCGGATGACCTCATAGTCTCGATCGGCGATGAGTTGGGCTCGCACGAGATACTCGGTCAGACCCGGAATCGTGGCAGGCAGATGGCCCGGGAGCTTGAAAAAGAAGCGGAACGAGTTGGGTCCACGGGGAAGCCCAGTGCCAGTCCAGACCTCCCGCGAGTCCAGATACGAGTCGGAGAACTCGGAGACTTCGGTCAGAGCACCGAGCGAATGAGACGAGCCCTTGGCGGTGAAGGATTCTCCATCGGCGGCGAGACGATGGACGCCTTGGAGAACAACAATCAGACGCTTGGCCAACGGAAGGGACTCGAAGGCATCGAGGGTGATGGACCCACAGAGGTCAGTGCCGGCACAAGAGTCTTCGTCGCCGTTGAAGGTGGGCTCCTCATCGAGCTCGATGGTGAATTTTGAGATGAAAGTGGGGAGCGGGGTGGGCTGGCGCTTGGCAAGATCCCAAGCGTATGGAATGGGATAATCCGAGGAGGACGAGGCACCGGTGGCGACGAGAGGATGGCTGGACGACATTGAGTGGGCTGATCCGAGGCAGGAAGGGTCGACTCGAGAGAAGGACAGACGGGCGGACGGAGACGGAGATGGAGATGGAGATGGAGATGGAGATGGAGATGGAGACGAAGGCCAGTGTTGGGGCAAAGCCGGGGGCGATGAGGTGACCAATGGCTGCACAGTGTGTGTGTGTGGTGTCCTGGTCTCGCTTGGGTCTCGCTTAGGTCTCGCTTGGGTCTCGGCAATGGGAGTGGCAGTGTCGATGGCTTTCAGGAAACGGCAAACCCAATGGACAGAGTCGATGGACAGAGTCGATGGACAGGGTTGATGGTCCCATCGAGTCATCTGCAGGCAGCATCTGCGAGTATCATCTGCGAGTGTCATCTGCGAGTGTCATCTGCGAGTATCATCCTCCGCGACTGCGATTTACTCGACTGCGATCCCACGACGGCGATTTACTCAACTCCGGTCCCCTCCACTGGTCACCCGACGCAGCCGGACGGCACACCGAGGCAAGCCCCGGCCCAGAACAGACCCGAACAGACCCGAACAGGACCAGCCCGGCCAGAACAGGTCTGCCCAGACGGCATCCACCTGGGTTTCCTCGCTGCGGCTGCCTCGCTGCGGCTGCCTCGCCAAGGGTGGCGACGATCCACGTGTAGCCAATTCCAGCCAATGGCAGCCGGCGAGCGGTTTGTGCCGGAAGTGGTCCCGAACTGCTTCCAAAGTGGTCTGTCACAGGTCCGTCCGCAGGCTTGTTCCCCCTTGTCTGGTGCGCCACGCGCCGCCGCCACTGGCCCTCGTGACATGACCAACCACAGCGCCGCCGACCAACAGTCGCCATGTCTGCAAAAAAAAATGAGGGGGGTGGATGCATCGCGAGCGGCTCTGACCCGGCCTGGCATGGCCGGCTGGAGACAGGGATATAAATAGACTCCCTCCCTGGCTCGTCTCTCGGCCTCCATCGACACCGCCTCGACACCACCTCGACTCGAAAGCATCACCGCCCACAGTGTGCAATCCAGTCTGCAATCTGCAATCTGCAATCTATCACCACCAACACCAGCACCAACACCAGCACCAGCACCAGCACCAGCACCAGCACCAGCACCAGCACCAGCACCAGCACCAGCACCACAGTCTGTCCTCAAAATGGCCGCCAGCAACCTCGTTCTCATCCCCATCGACTCGATCTCTGAGCTCTCGCGAACCGTCATCCTCCACGCACTCAAGCACAGCGTGGTGGCCACCGACAATGTCGAGATTCTCCATATCATCAAGCCGTCGCTGTGTAAGTTGCGGGTCCCGGTGGTGCATAGAGTGTTGGTGCATGGAGTGTTGGTGCTGTGTGTGGCTTGTTGTTCTGTCGATCAGCGAGTCAGTCGGCCAGCCAGTCAGTCAGTCATCTAGTCAGTCATCTAGTCAGTCATCTAGTCAGTCATCTAGTCAGTCATCTAGTCAGTCGGCCAGTCAGTCGGCCACCCGGCCAGTCCTTCAGTCGCACTCACATCCTTCGCATGTCCCGACGCTGCCCCGTTCCTCTGTGCTTCCGCTCGTTTCTGCTTGCCTCCAGTCTCTGCCATGCAATGTGCATACGAACACCGCGAGATCGTCGAGGTCACCCAGCGCCTCACCAAGTTTGTCCAGGAGATTGTCCAAGCAAGCGGCGTCGCAAACAAGGTCTCGCTCAACGTGATCCATGGAGAGGCCAAGGGCCACATCATGATGGAGATCAGCGACCGCGCTCCGCGACTGGTTGTCATGGGTGCCCACCCACATGGCCCCCTCGCTGGCACTGGTGAGTTGGTGTGTGGTGTCTGTCTGTCTTTGCGGTGTGCCATGCTGCTGCGGTGCAGTGTGGCCTGTTGATGCGGTGCAGTGTGGTTTCTCTCGATCGGCGACTCCAGGATCGCATCAGAGCAATGCCGAGACTGGCCAATGTCGGCCACCCGCTCCCACATCCACCCACAACCACTCCCACAACCACCCACTCACTGTGTCTGCTTCCATTGCCCGCACATCCCAACCGCCACCCCAACCACCCGTCTCGTCTCCCACAATCTGCAGGCAGCATCACCGGATATGTCTCACAGCGATCCCCGTGTCCCGTGCTGGTTCTGCCTCACTCCATCGCCAAGACTGCCGTCCCGATGGAAGGCAGCAGCAGCAGCATCCCGATTGCTGCCTGAGCGAGCACCGTCCCCGCACCGTCTCCAGCACCGTCTCCACCACCGTCTGCAACTGCGTGACCCAGTCTCTCTTGTCTCGCTGCTGCACTCTGTCCCGTCTGGCCTCGTTGCTGCGCCTCGTTCTCTCCCAGCCACAACCCGTCGCCCACCTGCTCCCTCCGCTTCCTGCGTGCGCCTCTATATCCCCGCTATGTTCCCGCTATGTTCCCGCTATATTCCCGCTATGCTCCATCATGTTCTCGATGTTTCATGCGTGTTTGTTCTCCTTATTTATTGGCCGGCGTTGGTCCTGGATCTGTCGCCTCTGGCGGCGATGCGATCCCGACCCCGCCGTTCCCGGCCTCCTGTGCGATACCATTGCCATTGATTGCCATGGGCTGTCTCTGCCGTCCCTGTCCCTCTGCCATTGGCTCGATCTGCTTGAATACACACATTCGCAACCAACCTCGTCTTCCGGCGATATCGGATGGTGGTCCGAGTCCATTTGGCTCGCAATTCAAGGCAACTGGCAGACTTGGATCCTTGCCTTGTTCAGTCCGCACTCAATACTCTCAAATAGACAGATACTCCATTGACAACAAGACATCTAGTCTGGGGGAGGTGCCCACGCACATGGACAGGACAGCGAGTCGTTCATGCCAGTACATGCGCTTTGGCGATCGACAGATTTAGCCATCCAGTTATCGCGGAGAGACCTGCATGTTCCAGCGAGCTATTCTCGCTTTGATCGCTCGCCACTCTTCCGACGATGTGGAGTGAAAATGGGCACGTTTGTGACGTCCGTTCAGGAATGGATCGCTGTGTACGCCCGCTCACACGGTAAACTCATCCAGCGTCCGCTGCCGATAGCCGCCGTTTCGACTTGGGTCCTCGAGCCGGCTGACTTTGACATCGCCACTATCAATGCCTTTGATGTAGCTTTTATAGATGCACGGGTAACCGTGAGAATGGTGTCAGCATTTCTATTGGCAAAGAATGCCGCGCATCATGCTGAACACCCACTCCTCACACACCGCCCTGGTACCAACCTCATATCTTGGGGGGTAATCAGTATGTACTGGCAGTGTTGCTTCTCGCGGCTACGGGCATAGTCGATCAAGAACTTCATGCTTATACGACGGTTGACGGCATCCTGAAGGGAGGACAAGCGTAGCATATTTAGAACGAGACGAATGGATTGCAGGATCCAAGCCCACTTAATGCGATCGGCAGTGTGGGCTCTGGATATGCCTCCACAACCCGGAGGAATGACGCACCATGAAAACATCGAACTCGTCCAGGCACCGGAACGGATTGGCCATGCCGTCCCATATAGAGAGAAGCAAGCAGATGGTCGAGAAGCTCTTTTCTCCTCCAGAGAGTGACTTGGGATCTTTGGATGTTGATGACTTGTTGCTTTGTGTCTCGGAATATAGGCTCTGGGCTTTGGCTTGGTCTTCGACCGACACCTAGATGGGTAGAGCAACACAGCAGGCAGTCAGCAACGCTAGGTTGGCTTTCCATGCCGCCGAGATGTTGTTTATGCACCGCGATGCTAAGCTCGGTGGAGCGATAGTTAACCAGCAGCACCCATTCGCGCCGCATACCCGCAAAAACAGTCCACCATCCCGGAATTCCAGCTTGCCGTCGTATCCGCGCTTCTTCATGATTTCTTGGAACAGCAGTTTGGCGCGCATGATGATGAATTCGCGGAAGGCAACGAGCGAAGAGGCACGGATTTCGACAGCAGACTCAATCTTATCCTGGAGTCCTTTGAAGTCCTTGATCTGCTTCTTGATGCGGTTGTACTGGGTCACCTTGGCTTCATACTGCTTCGACACAGCCTCCTTGTCGCCGTGCCTGGATAGGCAGCATAGGTGCGTGGTGACTTGTTGTTAGTTGCGACAAGGATACTACCCGAAAATGCTGAACCTGAGTGGTGGTGGGGCGACGGCAACAGATCCCGCGCAAGGCATCCCGACAACTCACCGCTTGGCCTGCTCAGTAGCAAGGGCTGCTACTCGCGAGATTTCCTTTTGGAGAACCTCGATGGTTTTGTGCGTAGTGATTCGCTTCTGGGTGATTTCAAGAGCGGTCTCCACAGCCTCGTCGATCTCACTCGACTGTTTGTCGTATTCGCTCTTCAGATTTTCGAGCTCGCGGGAAAAGTCCTCGATCTGCTCCTTGACCGTGGCAATGGTTCCCTGTATCTGATCTTGGCTCTCGAGGTAGGCGTTCAACTCTCGCTGTGTGGATGGCATTAAATGTCAGCCCCGCACATGTAGTCCTTGCAGCATAGCGGTGGGGGAGGGCTATCGGTGAAGCGATCGTTTGGGGGCTGATGACCAGTGCGACCTGTGTCATTCACTCGTTTGCGGCACCCACCTTGAGCTTGTTGACCTGCTCGTGATGCATCCTGTTCTCGGCGTTCAGCTGCTCGATTCGCTGCTTGATTGGTGTGTCCTTTGCGACCAGGTCCAGCCGCTGGCGCTCGACGATCGTGAGTTTTTCCTGGGACTCATCGAGCTTTGCCTCCAGGCTCTGGGACGCCAAATACGGCATATTATAAGGACATGTTAGCTAGCTGCATCACGAATCAGGGCCGATTCCATCGTCCCACAGCCACACATAGCAGAAGAGACAGCTACAACGACAACCCCGTGGCAGCCGTGAAGCCAACACACGCAGCCAATGCTGTCGCCGCATCTTGGGATCGAAAGCACAGCAGTGCTACTCACATCCAGTGTGTTCTGGAGGACATGGATTGTTCCACGGTTGGAGTCTTCAGAGAGTTCCGTCTGAAGATCGTCGATTCGCCGATGCAAGTTTGTACTTTCACGCCTCAGCTGGTGACTGTTGGTCTTTAAACAAAGGCGCACGTCAGCAAATGGTCGTGGCAAGACTAGAACTTGAATGATCATGGCTTTGACCATGAGAATGGACCCGGAACGAACCTCGAGCTTCTGCCGCTTCTTCTGGCGGTCATCAATCTTCACCGAGAGCGCAGTGATATCCATGTTGAGGGTCTCGAGCCGGTCTGCGCTCTCTTTGAGGGCATCCTGCTCGGCACTACGGTACGGTGGATCAAATCAGCGCGATTCACGCTGGGTTGTAGAATTCTTGGTACAAGCGATGCCGATTCTCGCGGCCCGGGATAGGGACTCACCGAATATCAGACTCGATGTTTGTAACAAGCCGCTTGGCCCCTCTCCATCGGTTGAGGGCAAATGAGCCCTCCATGCCCTTCTGACCACACTCGTACAGGTCGCGTCGATCGTAGATCCTCCGGACGTTGTGAGGCATGCCGTTAAAGTGCGCAATCATGTCCAAGCCCTCGACACGGGAGTTGACCAGCGCGATACTCTCGATATTGTGGTTGACCACTAGACACATGAGTACAACCGGATTGGTAATCTGTTGTTTCGGAAAGGGGTGGGACGCTTCAGTGGGCGGCGGCCTGAGCGACAGACTCGGGCAGAATGCAAGGGCACAGCCACGCCGTGGACAAGAGCCTGGCGAACATCTCGGAATCCGGCTGGTTCATAACGGCATTCGCTGGCTGGGAGCGACCCGGGTCTCGATGGCAATCAGGCGCAGTCCATGCTTGTGCTCGTGCTGCTGTATATACTGACCTCGAGCATTCGATAGATCGTCACAAATTTCTCCTCAGGCTCTCCAGAGGAAAAGTCAAAGTTCCTCGCGTTGGTGTATCGAATGATCGGATTATCGCTGCTCAAAGCAACGCGCCAATGCAACGGAGATACCTGGTGAACAAGGGATGCAGACGGCAGATGTGCCCAGCACACTAAACTCGGGGAGTGGCGCAGCGTCGGTAGTGCTGGACAATGCAGTGACCAGATATGGCTGCAATAGCCAGAGCCTACCTCCTGAACTTTCTGAGGACGCCCTGGAGAGTCGAGATATCTCTGTTGGAGCTGATGGCAAATCCGTTCAGCGTTCGGCCGAGGCAGGACTCGATCACCTCGCCGTATCGTGCATCTCGCAGCTTGACGAACAATCCTGACGACGCAACAATTGACAAAGCGGTGTCAACTCAGAGTAGGTGCAAGCATTTGGTAAGCAAATCGTTGTGCGGCAACAAAAGTCATGCCGGACGAGAGCAGTATTGGTGGCGAAGGCATCCGGATGTCATCGCCGGAGCACAATACCCACCGAGTGGACCAACCGGCTTGGATCCAACCCATCGACCAGCCCTGTCGAGTCGATCGATTTCTTCAAGAATCTTGGGCATGGCATTGCCATAGACGAGCACGCTGTTCTGAGTCTGTTGCTGCATCGTTTCGATGCGCTTGCGGATGTCTTCAACCTTTCGACTCAGCCCGCCTTGATCGGCGCGGGCGTCTTGTCGCTCTTGGGTGAACCGCTCGAGCTCTTGATCGATCTCATCACGCTGGGCAGCCATCTGGGTGGATTTTGAGGCGAGGTGTCCGTCAAGATAGGCCGAAGGTCGTGCTGATGCTGGAGCAATATATTGCCCACAAACGCCATTCGCCTGACGCACCGCGACGATTCAAGACTGCTGTCCGACAAAGCAATTGCCGTTTGCAACCTCTCACCTCTTCGAGCTTGGTAGTGATTTCCGACCGGCGTTCCTTCATATCCTCCAGCTCTTGCTCCCGCTCAGCGCGGTTACCGCTAGAGACATCGGCACGATGGGTGAGCGATGAGGGCGCGGAGGATGCGATACCACATCACCGCGACCAGCGCATTCACATATGCCTCCCCCTTTGTTCGATGACGAACGGCTCAGGGTCCATCCGTACCTGGCTCCCAGACGCTTCTTCTCGGCCGCGAACTTGGCTGTGATCTTGTTCTTTTCAGCCGTCAGCTTGCGGATCTCTTCCTGCACTTCTTCGTTCTGAGACAAACACTCGCGCAGCTCGTCCTTGATTTGGACGCGCTCGTTCTGCAGCTCTTGAAGGCGGCTGGTGAACACTGGTGACGACAGAGACTCGATCTTTTCCCGACAGCGCTCAATGTCCTCGTTCAGCCGCTCTAGCTCGGCCTTGTACGCATGGAAGTCGAAGATAAATTAGAGAGTTTATCGGCCAAAGTGCAGGCTGCCGCTTGCAGCCCCTGGTGGTCGTTGGAGTGTGACAGTGGGCGGGGGAGCGATAGATTCCGATCGGAGGCGACGACGCGAGAGCAATGCCGCAGCACACAACACGCAATAATCCTGTCTGTTGTTACTTACATTGTTCTGACTGACGTGCTCTTCTCGTCGGTTGATCTTACGCTGTCGCGATTCGATAGCGTCGTGCTGCTTCTTCAAAGCCTGTGGTAGCGAGCGGTCAGCTGCATCGTCTGACACCACAACGTCATACTACCCTCTTGGACAAAGGGCAGTGTTCACGCACCGACATATGTCGGTGTATGCGTGCGTACCTGCTCTTGATCGACAATGGTCGCCCAGATCAGCTCGTTCTTCAAGGAGTGGATGGTGTCCTGGTAGTCCTCCATTTGCTCAAGATCCTGTCGGAGAGTCATGGTCAACCACACCGCTGCGTACTGGGCCCCGTGGCACCAATATGCCTGCTGCAACAGATGAGGATAAAGCAATGATCCCACCTTCATCCGCTCCTTGAGTTTTACGATGTCATCCTTGAGCTCAAGGATTCTCTGTCGAAGATAAGTTGACGATGGTGAGCACAGCATCCCCGATGTTGCTGTTGGATTCGGCTTGTGCATGCACAAGTCTTGATCAACAGGCCTATGTTGGCTTGTGGCCAGAGCTGATGTGTTTCTCGACAAGCAGCTGCGGGACAATATACCTTGACCTGGACCTGGGTGCTTTCGCGCATCTTTTGCAGGTTCTGCTTGATAATGCTGTAGTCATCGTGGAGCTGGCTGAGCTGTGTGCCTTTCAAGAAAGCCTGCGACAGAAACCGCATTTTTTAGTTGACGATCGTTGGTCGGGCCAAATTGTGATTCCAACGCCCGGAGAAAAAAAAGTCATAGATTGCTGGAAAGGAGGGTAAAGATGGAACTTCCCCTCTCGACCTGGAAATGGGTCGACAGTGTCCAGAATGGCGTTGGGATGTAGACGAACCTGATACTTTTCCTGAGGTGTGCTGTTGCCCAGGAACATGCGCGCTGTATCTTGCGTCAGGATGGCGAGCGGGTTCTCGACCTGAATCTGGAAGTGGTCGCAGATTGCTACGAGGTCCTCCTTCTTGGTGGAGACGAGGGTTTCTGAGACGTGGTGTGTGATGATATCAGTGTAAGTTGGGTGCTTGCATGTCGAGGCAATAAATCTTGGCTGGACGGCAGTATGGCTCAAGGCGGGAGAGGGTATGCTGCTCTGGTCTTACTGTTACTGGACATGATTTTGTAGGTGTGTGGCTTGCCGCTGTCGGCGGTGAGTCTGCGAGTGATCTCGATGAAGTCGCCATATGTGCCTGGCTCGAAAGCGTCCTCGCCAGTGTTTCGAATCCGGACAGTGATCTCAGCGGAACTGTAAGGAGGGGCAGAGCCAAAGGGCGGCAATGCAACAGATGGCGTCGATTACGAGCTGTCTCATCACTTCCAAGAATGGATCTGTGCGCCTCGATCGTTTGATCCGGATATGCTGTGGGCAACCAGATTCTGTGGTACCTCTCTCCTTCCTTGATGAAATTCTTCAGATTCTGGCCACGATTGGTGAAACTCGCCTTGCCTCCAAGGCAGATCATCAGGCCGGTGAGGATGGCGCTCTTTCCACCTTCAGGAGGCGAAGCACAGCGAGTCGAATCAGATCCGAGGCTCAAGTAATGCGGTTCTGTGGCGATGTGCTGGTGCGAAGAGGACCAAGGCCTGTCCAAATCATACGGGGTGTGGTCTGGCGGCTGGACACTCACTGCCGTTGTGGCCGATGACAAAGTTGATCTTTGGGTTGAAGTCCACAACCAGATATTTGTGGCACATGAAGTTGACCAGCTCGATGCGCTCGACGGTGCCACAGTAGCTCTCATCGTCCTGCGTTGGTTGCAAGGAAGAATGACGACGCCGTTTGACACGGGTGGTCATGATCCGCGGCAGTGTCAATTGGACGGATCAAGCATCGGCATACCGATAGAGGGGGAGGCATGCAAATATCGTTCAAAGATTGAAGATCGCCGTGGATCACAGGCAGCGGTGCGGGCTGCTGCAGCCTTGTCCATCCTTCAGCGGCACTCGCTTGGGGACGAGATTCCAAGGATCTACGATGGCCCTCGCCGATGCGATAGCAACAGAATCCGCACCTCGCAGTGCTTCTTGGACGACCGGAAGTGGCCGGCATCTTCGGACTTGCGCTTTCGGGATCCAGAGAGGATGTCGGTCTGCGAGTCTGAAACGGGATTGTTCTGCGAAGCATCCTCCTCGTCAACAAGGGCCGAGGCAGCGAGTCGCAGATCGGGAGGATCGACCAGTGGCTGTTGGGACATTGGAGGAGGAGAAGACAGCGGGCTCTGCTGCGAGCGGGGCGACAGGAGCCGCTGCTTCCTTGAGTTTTGTCGTGCGAGATCCTCTTTCATTTGGTGACGGCAGCAGCAGCAGCAACAGCAGCAGCAGCAACAGGATGAGCAGGAGGACGGTGCTGGCTGGTCCAGAAAGCCGCCATTGGACTCGGAGGCTTGTGCGGAGCACCACGTGGACGAAACAGGTGACATCGGCGTGACTGGACAACTGCGCATGCGCTGGATCGAGCCAGGCTGGGAACAATCGCACCAGATCCACAGAAGCTCAGCAGGCCAGTGAAAAGCAGAGTCCCGTTGCTTTCTGGACCAACTGTATTTGGCATCTATGAGAATCATGAATGGGCGGCGACGGCAGAAGTGGCCAGGGAAAAGGGCACCCAAGAGAGAGAGAGCCGAAACAACATTCGCTTCGACTGCTCGGAAGTGATCGATACCAGTGCAGAATAAAACGGGATCATACGATGGATAGAATAGAAACTACTGCCAGCGGCAGACAATGGCGCCTGGTGGATACTACGACGCTCGGGACAGGGGAGCAGAGGAACAGCCCATCCACGGAGGCTAGCGAATAGCGGAATAGAGGGGCGATATTAATGGCGCATGTGGTTTACAGCGGCTGGTCCTCCAAAAAGTTGAGAGGAACCACGCCCATGAGGCCGCCTTCGTTGATGCCCATGCCCCAGCCGTCCTCGTAGGTTTCGGTGACTTGAACAACTTCGCCAGGCTGTAGAGGAAGCTCATCCGGACGCTGAGGGATGCGGCCAATGCGGACACGGTGATATCGGCCAAGTGGAGGAGAGGTTGGGCGCAAGCCCTCAACGGCGGGAACCTCGCCGTAGGAGCCCGCAGGCGAAGGGAGGCCGTGGGGCGGAGGCAAAGGCGATGGAGCATACATATCGTCACCCACGTAGGCCATGTTCTGTGCCGACAGCGTTCTGGTCTGTTTGTACTGTTCAGCGTAGCGTCGGCGGTAGAGGAAGTAGGCCGATCCAGTCAAGACAATCGGGATGCAGATGGCGGCAACCACGATTCCGATGATGACGCCCGTGTGGCTTCCGGAATCGGTGGTTGTGGCCGTGCCGGTGATCGTACCGGTTGGGGTGGCAACCGGGACCGTGGCTGTGTTGGGTCTGGCGACGATCGGCTGGGTCGACGGAGCCACGACGGAGGCCGGTGCAGGAATGACCTGTGTGTTCTGGGTGACTGGATTCAGGCTTGTTTGGATGACGGTGCTTTGGGCCGGATTTGTGGTTGCCGGCGGCGGGTTTGCTGCGGTTGTGGTAGTGGTGGTGGTGGTGACCGTAGTGGTTGTAGTGGTCGTGGTGGACTGAGGCTGATCAGTCGACTTTCGGGTCGGAGGCGGCGGCGGCGGCGGCGGCGGAGAAGGAGGAGGAGGCGATGGAGACGCAGAAGGAGAAGCCTGGGTTGTGGGCGCAGGCGAGTTGGTCTGCTGGGTGGTCTCTGGGGCAGCCGAGGTTGCAGCAGCGCTCGGACTGGCCGAGGAGTTGCCAGCACCAGCCAAGGCAGCAAAGTTGACAACACGGGAAGCAGATCCCTGAACAGAGAGTGGGGAGGGTGATTGGCTGCTCTGGCCCGTGCAGTCGGTAGCATCGCAGGCCTCGACGAAGTAGCTTCCGTCAGCAAAGGCCTCGTGGGTCTTGAGGTTGAAGTAGGTTATCTTTCCATTGACGATGGTCTTTGGGAACGGGGTGCTGACGAGCAGATAGTCGCGGCTGCCTGTGGCAGCGTTCTGGAAGAAAGGTCGCCGGGGAAGCATTGGTATTGGTGGGCAAGACGGCAGGATGGGTAAGGTGGCAAATACGAGCTAGGGCCACATGCTGACGGGAACATGCTCGCTTCGAGACAGGATCTGTGCCGGCGCTGGGCTGCGGACAACGAGGCCGCGAGCAATGCCAGCGGGCCAGGGCGACCTACCACTAGATAGATGGACAGCGAGCGGGCGGTGGCATCATCAAAGGCACCCGAAGTGGACCAGGTCAGAGTGAACTGCAGCGGGTCGCTTGGCGCGATGGGCGCAGGGTTGGTCTGGGTGTCAAATGCAGGGAGGTTGGCGTGAGCAGACGGCGCGAGCGAAAGTTGGCACGGACACCGGTGCAAGACAGTGCAGGGCGGCAAGGCTGCCACCCGACGGAGCATACGTTGACGGAGAGACCGAAGGAGGCGGCAGCGGCGGCCTGAGCCGACAGCACGAGCGACACGGTGCCCAGGACGGCGGTTTTCTCCCAGAGCATGTTGCAGGCAGGCGAAGATGGATGCGCAAAGAAGGCCAGAGGGCTGACGGGGATGCGGACGAGGAAAACGGCGAAGGACGGCGACGGCGCGGGGGGGGGAGCGTGGACCGATGTGGGACCGGTGTGGGACCGGTGTGAAACAGAGGGCACACGGAGCGCTGCTCCTTGTGGGGAGAGCCGCAAACAGGGAATGTGGTTCTGATTACGATGTTGATGTTGATGCTGATGCTGATGCTGATGCTGATGCTGATGCTGATGCTGATGCTGATGTTGATGTTGATGTTGATGTTGATGATAATGATGGCGTTGATGTTGGTGTTGATGCTGATGTTGATTATGATGACCGCTGTCGATGATGCTCATTGGTGTGATGCTGACTGTTGCGGACCGTCCCATTGTCGCTGTTGCGCTGTGTGGGGCCTTGCGCCTCCCTTAATTCTTCAGCAGCCTACATGTGGTCGGACAGCAGTCTCAGTGGCGCGGTGCCCCAGACAAGGCGCCGTCGTAGTGACACAGCAGGACGTGTGTGGCGACGCTGGATTGTGTCACTGCCGGTGGCAGGACTCGGACAGACCCGGAACGGCTCGGACAGATGCGGGACAGGCACAACAACAGCGCGTGTGTGCGCAGCGGACTCGACAGCCTGTGTCACTTTGGTCGCGCACACGGTGCGCCTGTGCGCGTCTTGGACAGGTCCAGAAAGGCAGACGCGGCTGCTGCGCACTGACAGAAATAGCTGGGCGCGCGGTGACGCGGCTCTGTGCGTGTCTTTTTTTGGGCACGGCGGTACCGCAACAGCCCCGACTGTGTGCACAATCAAGCTCACATCCATCAACAGCACAGTGCTCCCCTGTGTACAACGCCGCGCCAACGGCACAGTCCACAATAGCGCGGCCTCCTTTGCCCCTTGGCCTTCGCCCAGACAGCTCCTTTCTTTCTCGACCCTCGTCCGTGTTGCTCTTCCTCTTCTTTCGCCATCGGCCCGCTCGAGGCATCCCAACCGATCTCCTGTCGCCCGTCCCCTCGCCTGCTCGGTCGCATCCGCTGCATCCACTCTCTGCCTGCATCTGAAATGGCTGCCGCTCAGCAACAGCAAGTCCCATGGGCCAACGCCCTGCAGCAGGCCTTCAGGGCCAATTTCCCCAACGCGGCCCAGTCCGGATTATCCACCGTTAATCCGTTCTCCAGCTCGAGCCAGACCCCGCCCGATCCCGGTAGGCTACGCTCGGCTTCGCTGGGTCCTTGCCCACCTCCTATTGGCCGCAATCGGTACTTTCGCGCGGCCTGTTGGCACCGGCTCTCCCGCAGGCGCCATCGGCAATTTGCAGGGCTTTGGTCTGTCCTGCTTGCCCACCGCTCTGCTGACAACGCTGCTGACAACGCTGCTAACAACTCTGCTCCGATCGTGCCGTCAGTCGTCGTCCAACTTGCCTCGGTCAAGTCTAATGGCACCCCAAAGATCCAGCCGCTGGTCTTCCAGGACTTTTTGGCCGCTGATCCCCGCATCCTTGTGTTCTCGGCCGCAACCAGCAACCCCGAGCTCATGAGTGTCGTCAAATCCGGCCAATCCCACGAGATTTACTGGTACGTCGAGACCCAGCCGCTGGCGGCGTAGCCTGTATCCCAGCGCGCAGACGGGTTGCCTGATGTACTTTGCCCTGCGCTGGCTTGATACACCGTCCTTCCGCCTGCTGGCGAGACCAGCCAGGCAATCGTCTCACACCCATTCCATCGCCACCCCTTCAGGTCCATGCCCAAGACCAAGGAGACCTTTGTCCTCTCCTCCTCCAGCCGTCTCTACATTGTCTGTGCCTCCACCCTGTCGGGCCGATTCGGCTCGGCTCCCAGAAAGGTCATCGTCGGCGACGAGGGCTCGCAGGCGGCCCTCAATCCGGAAGAGTTCTGGGAAACCGAGCGCATTCGCTTGTGGCACAAGATTTCCCCATTCTATCGGGCCTCCTTCACCTGGCCGAGCTCGGGCGAGGTCAGGACCCCGAATCCCAACGAGTCGTGGTCCGTCTATCGCGACCAGAACCAAATCAAGGTGTCGTCGCCCGTGTCGCTTGGAACCGGTTTCCGATACACCCGTCTGGACGTTGTCGGTAGCGAGTTCAACGGACAGACCCCGCCACTGTCTCCCAGCTTGCTCGCCAAGTTCCAGAACGCCACCATCAACAACCACTCGACTCTGGAGCGCCGAGCCAAGATGACAAAGGAGGAGGAGGACCAGTGTGTGCACAACGCTGCTTTTGACAACTTTTGCCTCATCATCTTCAAGGTCACCCGTGTCGACCACACGGCCTGCGCTTCGAACAACTCCGGTCCCCCAACCCGTACCGTTTACACCTGCACAAAGGAGGGCTCCTGGGTTATTGACGACGTCAACCCTTAAGCGGCATACCCAGAGGTGGCCGGGCGCTACAAGCGCGTCTGCGAGCAGCGTCCCAGATACTCGCCTGTTATCAAGGAGGAGTGCCCTGGCCATCAATGCCTGTGCGAAATGGAAGGAGACACCCGATTCTGAGGCCAGTGGTCATTTTTTTGGCTGTTGAATACATACATACATACTCATTCATCACATCGGCGGCACGCTACCCTGCAGCGGTGCCAAAGTTGATGCTTCCCGGGCATGATCGTGCAGCACGAGGCCCTCAGTGCATCGGCGTGGATGCGGCACTGCTTCTGATCAAACATTATGGCCAGACCGAGTATGCT